ATATCTGTTTTTGTATTATGTCTTGCCAAGTAGGTAATAGTTTCTCCTTTAAGATGGTTCTGGGTAGCCACCTTCTTGGAATAGTCATCCTGAGAACAGAGCCAAGGACATCCCAACTTGGTAGAGAATTTTCTCATTAATGTGGAAATGAAAAATAAAATATGTGTGTCTTTTCATGAAAATATTTGGAAGCCATGGAGTAAGGGGAGAGTGAATATGTTGAAAGACAAAATCATGATTCGAAAAGCTTTAGACGTCCTTGCACAAGACACGAAATCCCACGGGATGAAATGTCAGAGCCTTTCTGAGATCTAGATGAGTAGTTATTAATGCAACATGGCACCTGAGTTGGAGTAGGGACATATATATCTAAATTACTTGGGAGAATTGATTTGAACCACCCACACACCCCAGTGTGGTAGAGCCTCTCAGAACCTCTTCCCAGGAAGAGCAACATTAATCTGAGCTATGTCACTCCTGGTATCAGGTAGAAGAGCCGATTGAGAACAGCTGGACGACAGCTATCCCCTGCAAATCTGCAAGAAAGATTGAAGCAGTGTGTGGTGAAGACATAGTTATTTACATGATACAATTTCAGCATGTCACACTTATTGCCAAACACTGTTGCCATTAAACTACCTCTGAATGCCAACATTGATACTTTGATGAAAGTGTGTATTATTCAGCCTTAAATAAATCCTGCCATTTGAGACAACATAATGGACCTAAAGGACATTTCGCTAAGTGAAAGAAGTCAGTCACAGAAGTACAAATACTTAATGATTCTACTCTTAGAAATATTTAAAACAGACAACCACATCAAAATGTCACCTAAACTACAGAACAACTATCTTGCAAAAACACCTGAAATCAGGCTGAATGGAAGCCCTACAACAAAATTAAATAAGCCACATAGAGACTGGTAGGAGGGGCGGAGGTGAGGACGGGCTGGTCCTACACCCATGTGTGGTGGACAAAAATCAGGAGGGACACCTCGGCTGGGAAGGTCCTCCCTGAGGAGCAAGTAGTCCCCACCCCACACCAGGTTACCAGCTCAGGGTTCCGCTTCCAGGAAGAGAAGTCTCCATCACTTCTGGCTGTAACAACCAGCAGGAACTGAGGTTGAGGGAGGCTGAGGCTTCTGGAGCCCCAGGCAGCTCCACTTAAAGGGCCTGCGCATAGATTTACTCAGACTCACTCCTTCTGGGCTCCAGTATTGGGGACACAGCTTGAAAAGCACCAGCCACAAACGGGGGGGTGGGGAGGACTAGAGAGGCAGCTTTCTCCTGGACAGACATGCTGGCAGAGGCCGATGTTCCTTTAGTGAGCCCTTCCCCCACTAGGTTGGCAGATGGGCACCATATCTGGGACTCCAGCAACCTGGCTCATACTGTTTGCCCCACCCTGGTGATTCCCTGAAGCTCTGCCCCACTCGACTGTCAGGCCCACCCAAGCTGTTCCCAGTGGCTTTACCATCATAGCAATGGCCTGTCTTGGCTCCTGTTTCAGATTTTTCTAAAATCTCTCAAATAAGCAGTATCTCAGAGAGTCCCATACCTCTCCCTGAGTGGCTCCAAGCCTGGCACTAGAGCAGCCAGCCTTGGTTCACAACTTGGCTTTGCCTGGGCACCTCCAAGCCCAGCACAAGAAGCAGCCATCTGCAGATCACTTTGTAGCTTATGCCTGGTGGCCTCAGGTAGAACACAGACAGTGGCTGACCTTGCCCCAGACGCAGTACACCCAGTAGACAGCTTCAGACCACATCAAAACACCACCACCAACCACCTCCACAAGTGACACACTCAAGGAATGGACTCAGTGGTACCAGAACCTTGTTGAAGTAAGTCTAGATCTGTGTGGTGGGCCCCTGCACAGCTGATCACCCAAGGTAGTCAGAGATCAATGGATAGTGAGCACAGTCAGTTCTTGAAGCTGATCAGCCTGAGTAAAACCCTCCCATTGATGTGCCAACAGCATTCAAGACTCAATTACAACAGAAGGGTGTAAAGTCCACATGAGTGGTGTACCTCAAGGGCCCAGGTGGGTGACCAGAGAGGTTGTGCCACTGGACTCTACAGGACACCTACTACAATAGGCCACCCTAGGAAGCTTAGGAAACATAGCAACTCTACCTAATACATGGAAACAAACACAGGAAAGCAGCCAAAATGAGGAGATAAAAAACATGTCCCAAATGAGAGAAAAGAACAAAACTCCAGGAAAAGAACTAAACAAAATGGAAATAAGCAATCTAACAGATGCAGAGTTCAAAACACTGCTTATAAGGATGCTCAATGAACTTAGTGAGGGCCTCAAGAACATAAAAAAGGACCAGTCAGAAATAAAGGATGCACAGTCAGAAATGAAGAAAGCTCTAACTGAAATAGGAATAATTTTGCAAAGATTCAATAGTAGAGTAGGTAATGCCATGAAGCAAACCATCGATTTGGAATACAAGGAAGCAAAAAAACATCTAATCACAACAGCAAAATGAAAGAAGAATCCAAGAAAATGAGGATAGTGTAAGGAGTCTCTGGGACAATTTCAAGCATACTAACACTTGCATTATGGGGGTCTTCGAAGGAGAAGAGAGCGGGTAAGAAATTAAAAACCTATTTGAAACAATAATGACAGAAAATTTCCCTAACTTAGTGAAGAAAACAGACATTCAAGTCCAAGAAGCACAGACAGTCCCAAACAAGATGAATACCAAGAAGGCCACACCAAGGCACATCATAATCAAAATGCAAACTGTTCAAGACAAATAGAGAATCTTAAGAGTAGCAAGACAAAAGCAGTTAGTTACCTACAAGGGAGCTTCCATGAGACTGTCAGCTGACTTCTCAAAGGAAACTTTGCAGACCAGAAGGGAGTGGCAAGAAATATTCAGAGTGATGAAAAGCAAGAACCTACAACCAAGAGCATTCTATCCTGCAAAACTGTCATTTAGAATCGATGGACATATAAAGAGTTTCCCAGAAAAGAAAAGAAAAAGGAGTTCATCATCATCAAACCAGTATTACATGAAATGTTGAAGGGTCTTCTAGAAGAAAAAAAGATAAAAAAATGAACAATAAAATGGCAATAAATACATATCTATCAACAATTGAATCTACAAGCAAAATGAACAAACAAAACAGAAAGAGATTCATAGATAACAGAGAACATTTTGTTGGTTGCCAGATGAGAGGGGGGTGGGGAGAATGGGTGAAAAAGGTGACTGGATTAAGAAGTACAAATTGGTTGTCAGACTGACAAACCTCAAAGGGAAGGGGTGGGGGAGAGAAATAAATTAAAGAACTTCTATGCATATGTGCATAACCAAAGGACACAGACAACAGTGTGGGGAAAGCAGGAGGGGGCCGAGAGCAGGGAGGAGGGGGTCAATAGGGGAAAAGGGGGAAGATCTGTAATACATGCAACAATAAAGATAAGTTTTTTAAAAAAGATTTATTGGATAAGCTCTAAAAAGGCTGAAACAGCCCTGGCCAGTTTGGCTCAGCAGTTAGAGTATCAGCCCACGTACCAGAGAGACTCGGGTTCAGTTCCCACTAAGAGCACGTAACTTGGTTGCAGTTTGTCCCCAGCCCCACATGGGGTCATGTGGATGGCAACCAGTTGGTGTGTGTCTCTCACATCGATGTTTCTCTCTCTCTCTCCCTCCCTCTCTCCTTCCCACTCTATCTGAAGATAAACACACACACACACACACAAACACACGCACACAAAAATGTCCTCGAGTGAGGATAAAAATAAGGCCAAAACTAACAGGAATGGACTTTGCCACAGTTATACATATTCAAAATGAAAGTTATTTTGAGAACAGTGCAAGTCGCTATATGCTTTGATACCCTAGAGACTTGAAATGCCTAATAGTATGTTGGAATCTTAAAGAAGCACTGTGGGTGCATTAGAGGAAGGGGAATTATAATTCAGACCTGTTATTAAAAAGGTCGGCACAAACTAAAAAAATAAATTTAAAACAGTCAAATTCATAGAGGCAGAGAATAAAATGGCAGGTGTAAGGAACTTGGGTAGGAGGAAATGGGTAGTTGTTGGTCAGTGGGTATAAAGTTAAAGATGTAGAAGATGAATGGATTTTAGAAATCTGCTCTACAGCATTGTGCCTATAGGTAACAATAACAGTGTGATGAACGTACAAACTTGTGAAGAGGGTAGAGCTCGTGCTAAGTGTTTTTAAGACACATGAAACAAGGGGACATAAAAACTCTTCAGTGGTTTCTCCCTTAATTATGGAAATAGTATTACGGTGCATGCATAAGTCCAAATTCATCAAAATGTATATATTGGACTTGCAGTTTTGTTTTGTTTTTTCATATTAAGTATAACTCAATAAACATGAGGGAAAAGAAGAAACATCAAATTTCATGACTTAGATTTTCTCCTGGAACTGTTGTTTCCTTGTTTCCCATCAATGGGCCATGATTCACAGTCGGGAGCGGAAAGTCCTAAGTCTCATGCTCATGCCAGTGACTCCGTTTCACATTCAAAACTTCTCTGCCCACCTGACCCACAATGAATGAGCCATCAAACTAACATGCAGCTTTATCCTCCCAAGTCACCAGAAAGAATGTGGCTTATTAGAGCCTTTATCACCCAATGGGACACACGCTGGGCTGTGCAACACGAGACCAACACACACACCGGCTACAGGCACAAACCATGTGACAGATTTCTTGGAGGAAGCTGAAGCAAAAAAGACACATAAAAGGTGATTCGGGAAGAGCTGAAGTGATGAATACTAACACATCAGGAAAAGGAAACAATGTTTCCCATCCATCTTCAAAAGGTTAACCAGGAAAACAAACTTGGCTACTTTGATAATCGCCTGCTAATTAGGACAAACAATGACAAGGAAAGAGCTCTGCTGACAGCAGCCCCTTAGCAGGGTATAAAAGGGGAGCTGGGCCAAGCAGACTTCCAAACCTTCCAAACCCACCTTCCTGAAAACTCACTCAGAACCTCCACCCTCTGCAACCATGGTCAACTCCTGTAGTGGATCCGTGTGCTCTGACCAGGGCTGTGGCCAAGGCTGTGGCCAGGAGACCTGCTGCCGCCCCAGCTGCTGCCAGACCACCTGCTGTGGGACCACATGCTGCCGCCCTTCTTGCTGTGGCTCCAGCTGCTGTCGCCCCATCTGCTGCCAGACCACCTGCTGCCGCCCTAGCTGCTGTGGCTCCAGCTGTGGCTCCAGCTGCTGCCGCCCCTCTTGCTGTGTCTCCAGCTGTTGTCGCCCCATCTGCTGCCAGACCACCTGCTGCCGCCCTAGCTGCTGTGGCTCCTGCTGTGGCTCCAGCTGCTGTCGCCCCTCCTGCTGTGTCTCCAGCTGCTGCCGCCCCATCTGCTGCCAGACCACCTGCTGCCGCCCTAGTTGCTGTGGCTCCAGCTGTGGCTCCAGCTGCTGTCGCCCCTCCTGCTGTGTCTCCAGCTGCTGCCGCCCCGTCTGCTGCCAGACCACCTGCTGCCGCCCTAGTTGCTGTGGCTCCAGCTGTGGCTCCAGCTGCTGTCGCCCCTCCTGCTGTGTCTCCAGCTGCTGCCGCCCCGTCTGCTGCCAGACCACCTGCTGCCGTCCAGTCTGCTCTAGTGGTTCCTGCTGCTGACCGCCTTGACCTGTGCCCACTGGTTTTTCATCAACCAATCATAATGTAGTCAAATTGAACTGAGTCTTGAGAGCCCAATTTTACAACCTCAGTTTTAACTGATTCTTAAACTGATTTGGCCTCCAAATATACTGCCCCCACCATGTTACTACCTCTCTCCCAAATGAACACAAAGTTAGAATTTTCTCTAGAATCTTTCAACCAATATGTATCCTAATTGATATGTTCCTCTCCTGCCAGATGTTCTCATATGATGCCTATCCTAAAATTTAAATAAATCTTAACTTTTCATGCATACAAATATAAGAGCAACGAGTCTGATTATTATTCCTTCTTGACCCAGAATTCTTAGCTATAAATTGCTCCACTGTTCTCTGTAGCTGGCGATATCAGAATTTCTAACGGGATTCTCTTATCTCTTGTTTATACTAGAAGCCGGTTTCGTCCAGCAAGCACCTGGATTTCTCTGAGAGCTTTCTCTGGATGGAGAGCAAGCTCAGGGCAGCCAGGGACTTAAGTCGGTAGGAGCAGGGCTCAGCCAGGGGACGGGAGCAGTGGATAAATGCTCCAGCATCTTTCCCCTGCAGTGGGGCAGGTCACACCAGTCTCTAGAGGTCGTCAGTGGAATGAACCCCAGCTGCCTAAGGAGTAAGCTCTTTCCACATCTTTCTATACTGGCTCCTATCAATTGCCTGGGTCACTTCCCAGGTCCCCTGAAGTGCTTCTTAGTATTCTCTCCCTAATGTACCATTGGATTTGAAACCATCTGGGGTCTGCTCCTGAGGGCACCCAATCTAAGACACCCGTGGTCCAAATCTCATGACCAGGGCCCTGAAAACATTTTGTTACAGTCAAGTCTTGTCAGCTGAACCACGAAATCTTCGGGACATTTTCTATTTCTTGCCACTTTTTCACACTTGTATGTACATGACTAGTCTTCCCGTGTTTTTCTCCAGTCATTGTGTCTGAGAGACAGGACACAGCACAAGGTACATGGCTCACCATGCCAGCATCTGTCACCCTAAAGGAGACTGCGGTCATGGGGAACCACCCCACCCTGCATGCCTCGTGTTGGATTTATAACGAGCAGAGCCGGACACTAGATTCTTGCACAAGTGATGTTGAAGGAAGTGTTTCCAGGAGAAACCAGTGAGAAGCAGAGCGCAGCAGGATAGGGTATTAAAGAAGACAAGGCAAAACATGGTCGCAGTGGAATTCTATGATCATCTGACCTCGCAGATGAGGGCGTGAACAGTACCACAGACCTTCCCTCCTGGAGGCCAGGCGCCGGGGGCTTTGCACTCCTACATCAGTTACCACTAGTCTGCACCGCCCTGATAGGGAGAAGGGGCGGAGAGCCACACCAGCAGGTGGGAGGCTCCTTGAGGTCAGAACATTACCTGGAGAACACGGGCTTGACCAGTCTTAGCTACCAGCAGCCCATACTCACACTAACTTGGGCATGGGGTACTTACGGCAAAAGGTAATATAGTCAGTGAGTTGGGTTTTGGAACTTATGACTAAATCTATTCTACCTTAGCCACTTCTCTGCATCTTTTATTTTTTTTAATCCTCACCCGAGGACATTTTTCCATTTTTTGTACAGATAGAGTGGGAGGGAGAGAGAGGAAGAGAGAGACAATCATCAACGTGAAAGGGACACATCAAGTGGCTGCCACCCTCATGACCAACCAGGGCTGGGGACAAACTGCAACCGAAGTACGTGCCCTTAGCGGGAACCGAACCCGGGTCTCTCCGGACCCCAGGTCGACGCTCTAACCGCTGTGCCAAACCGGCCAGGGCCTTCTCTGCATCTTTTGATCTCTTCCTCCTCATCACTGTTTGTGTGGTACAAGATAAAATGAAATGGTCATAAATATGAAAAAGAGATGAAGGTAAATGGTACACAATTAAAACTATATTCTTTTTATTGACAATGAACCTTATTTCACATTTCACTTTGCAATAACCACAGATGCACAGAATGCTGTAAAGAGCACAGCAGTGTCCCACACACCCCTCCCCCTTTCCCCACTGGTCACATCTCATTTATAGTCCATATCCAAACTTACAACCTTACACAAGTACAACCCAGAGATCTTGTTCAGAATTTACCATTTTTCCGTGCGTGAGCGTGTGTGTGCCTGTGTGTAGTTCTGTGCAGTACTATCGTGTGTGCTGTATGATCTCGTGTAACCACCATCACAGTTCAGATACAGAGGTGTCCTTCTCCATAAGGCTTCTTCCCCGAGCCACACCCACTCCCTTCTCTCCCCTCGTTAACTTTTTGATAAAGAAAGGAGAGAACTAACACTTCATCTATTAAACCAAAGCATTCTATCATTAAGAAAAACTCCATGTAAAAATTAAATAGTTAGTGTACTAGAAGAAATCATGAAGAATTTTGAAACATAATTTTACGTTTATCCTAAGTAAAACAACACACATATACAGACCATGAAGAAAATATATATTCTAAATTAATACAAATAAAAATGATCTCCACTGAGTCATCAGTAGGCCTGAGTCATCAGGGCTCCTAGGGGACACGCTTCCAAAAATAGAAAGCCATATGGAATTCTTAGTTTTTTCAGACTCTAAAGCCTTAACCCCACAACTTCAAATCTGCTTTTGTTCCCTCATCTTTCTGTGACAGAAAAGAGGCCCAGGCCCAGCCGGTGTGGCTCAGTGGTTGAGCATAGACCCATGTACCAAGAGGTCGCCGGTTCGATTCCTGGTCAGGGCACATGCCCAGGTTATGGGCCTGATCCCCAGTGGGGGGATTTCAGGAGGTGGCCTATCAGTGTTCTCTCTCATCCATGTTACTATCTCTTCTCCCTCTCCATTTCTCTCTCTCTCTAAATATCAATAAAGAAAAGAAAAGAGGCTCAGGACTTTTCCTATGAAAAGCTGTATTCGGTTCACCAGAGCTATGACAATGCAGACTCAGAACACCAGCCACACCTCCCAGCAGAGGTCCTGTCAGGACCCCGGGTCGTCATCATCCTGGTTGTTTCCACCTGGAAATTTGAGCCAGGGCAGAAGTAGAATCTGGCCAGGAATTTAAAGAACAACATAGGAGTTTGGTTTTATTAGACTTACAAGTGGCTTAAGGTAGTAAAGGATCTTCAAACCCATTTCGTCCAATTACCTCCACCTGGTTCTTGATTCCTTCTCTGTAACCCCAGCTTATAGTCCAACCCCTCCACTGATTATCTGTGGAGGCAGCCATGCCATGAACCACACTCACCATGGTGACTCAAATATGAGTCACTCATGTATCCTATATTTGCCCTTTACAGTAATTTGGGGAAAGTCAGTCTCTCACATACAGCAATCATATGACTAGCTCACTAGTGTTTAAAACAAAAACAAAACACTGACAGATCATTGGTTGGCTTCTAATATACATGTTCCCTTTGGGAGTCAAGGAAAACCTAGAGAGAGAAGGACGCTTACTATCATATCTGTTTTCGTATTATGTTTTGCTAAATAGGTATCAGTTTCCACTTTAGAATGGTTTGTGGGTAGCCATTCCTACTCGGATTAGTCATCCTGAGAACAGAGCCAAGGATATCCCAACTTGGTTGAGAATTTTCTCATAAATTTGGAAATGAAAAATAAAATGTGTATCTCTTTATGAAACTATTTGAAGGCCATGGAGTAAGGGGAGAGTGAATATGTTGAAAGACAAAATCATGATTCGAAAAGCTTCAGACATCCTTGCACAAGACATGAAATCTCAGTGGATAAAATGTCAGAGCCCTTCTGAGATCTAGATGAGTAGTTGGTAATGCAACATGGCACCTGAGTTGGAGTGGGAACATAGATATCTAAATTACTTGGGAAAATTGATTTGAACCACCCACGCACCCTCATGTGGTAGTGCCTCTCAGCACCTCTTCCCAGGAAGAGCAACATTAATCCGAGCCATGTCACTCCTGGTATCAGGTAGAAGAGCCGATTGGGAACAGCTGGACGACAGCTGTCCCCTGCAAATCTGCAAGGAAGATTGAAGCAGTGTGTGGTGAAGACATAGTTATTTACATGATACAATTTCAGCATGTCACACTTATTGCCAAACACTGTTGCCATTAAACTACCTCTGAATGCCAACATTGATACACTGATGAAAGTGTGTATTATTCTGCCATTTGAGACAACATAATGGACCTGAAGGACATTTCGCTAAGTGAAAGAAGTCAGTCACAGAAGTACAAATACTTAATGATTCTACTCTTAGAAATATTTAAAACAGACAACCACATCAAAATTAAAACTAAACTACAGAACAATCATCATGCAAAACCACCTGAAACCAGGCTGAATGGAAGGCCTACAACAAAATTAAATAAGCCACATAGAGACTGGTAGGAGGGCAAAGGTGAGGACCAAGGTCCTGCTGCTCCTACACCCATGTGTGGCAGATAAAAATCAGGAGGCATATCTCAGCTGGCAATGTCCTCCCTGAGTAGCAAGGGGCCCCCACCCCACACCAGGTCACCAGCTTGGGGTTCCAGTGCCAGGAAGAGAAGTCCCCATCACTTCTGGCTGTAAAAACCAGCAGGAACTGAGGCTAAGGAAGGCTGAGGCTTCTGGAGCCCCAGGCAGCTCCTTTTAAAGGACCTGCCTACGCACTTACTTGGACTTGCTCCTTCTGGGCTCCAGCATAGGGGAGGCAGCTTGAAAGGCACCGGTAACATACATGAAGAACTGAGTTGTTTGGCATCGGGGTGAGGGCTGGAGAGGCAGCTTTCTTCTGGACAGACATGCTGGCAGAGGCCGATGATCCTTTGGTGAGACTTCCTCCATGAGGCTGGCAAACAAGTGCCATATATGGGACTCCAGCAACCCGGTTCACACTGTTTGCCCTGCCCTGGTGATTCCCTGAGACCCTGATCTATCCAACTTTCAGGCCCACCTAAGCTGTTCCAAGTGCTTTACCATAGAAAGGGTTTGTCTTTTCTCTCGTTTCAGATTTTCCTAAATTCTCTCAAACAAGCAGCATCTGACCTCAGAGAGCCCCATACCTCTTCCTAAGTGGCTACAGGCCCGGCTCTAAAAGCAGGCAGCCTTGGTTCACAACTTGACTTTGCCTGGGCATCTCTAAGCCCAGCACAAGAAGCAGCCATCTGCAGATTGCTCTGTAGCTTATACTTAGTGGCCCCGGATAGAACACAGGCAGTGGCTGACCTTGCCCCAGAGCCAGCACACCCAGGGGACAGTGTCAGACCACAGCGAGCATCACCACCCAACCACCTCCACAAGTGACACACTCAAGGAATGGACTCAGTGGGTACCAGAGTTTGCTGAAGTAAGTCTAGCTCTGTGTGGTGGGCCGCTGCATAGCTGATCCTCCAAGGTAGTCAGAGGTCAATGGATAGTGAGCACAGCCAGTTCTTGCAGCAGATCAGCCTGAGTTAAACCCCCACTTTGACGTGCAAACAGCATTCAAGACTCAATTATAATAGAAGAGTGTAAAGTCCACATGAGGGGTGCACCTCAAGGACCCAGCTGGGTGACCAGGGAGGCTGTACCCCTGGACTCTACAGGGCACCTATTACAATAGACCACCCCTAGGAAGCCTAGGGGACATAGCAACTCTACTTAATACATAGAAACAAACACCGAGAAGCAGCCAAAATGAGGAGACAAAGTAACATGTCCCAAATGAAAGAAAAGAACAAAACTCCAGGAAAAGAACTAAATGAAATGGAGATAAGCAATCTAACAGATGCAGAGTTCAAAACACTGATTATAAGGATGCTCAATGAACTTAGTGAGGGCCTCAAGAGCATAAAAAATGACCAGTCAGAAATAAAGGATGCACAGTCAGAAATGAAGGAAGCTCTAACTGAAATAAGAATAATTTTGCACAGATTCAATAGGAGAGTAGATAAAGCCATGAAGCAAACCATCGATTTGGAATATAACGAAGCAAAAAATACCCAATCAAAACAGGAAAATAAAAAAAGAATCCAAAAAATGAGGATAGTGTATGGAGCTTCTCAGACAATTTCAAGTGCACCAACATTTGCATTATGGGGGTGCCAGAAGGAGAAGAGAGAGGCAAGAAATTGACAACCTATTTGAAACAATAATGACAGAAAAATTTCCAAACTTGGTGAAGAAAACAGACCTACAAGTCCAAGAAGCACAGACAGTCCCAAACAAGATGAATACCAAGAAGGCCACACAAAGACACATCATATACAAAATGTAAACTGTTCAGGACAAATAGAGAATCTTAAAAGTAGCAAGACAAAAGCAGTTAGTTACCTACAAGGGAGCTTCCATATGACTGTCAGCTGATTTCTCAAAGGAAACTTTGCAGACCAGAAGGGAGTGGCAAGAAATATTCAGAGTGATGAAAAGCAAGATCCTACAACCAAGATCACTTTATCCTGCAAAGCTGTCATTTAGAATCGATAGACATATAGAGTTTCCCAGACAAGAAAAAGCTAAAGGAGTTCATCACCACCGAACCAGTATTACATGAAATGTAGAAGGGTCTTCTTGAAGAAAAAAAAGATTAAAAATATGAACAATAAAACGGCAATAAATACATATTTATTGACAATTTTATCTACAAGTAAAATGAACAAGCTGAACAGAAAGAGATTCATAGATACAGAGAACATTTTGTTGGTTGCCAGGTGAGAGGGGTGTTGGGGCAAAGAGTGAAAAAAGATGACTGGATTAAGAAGTACAAATTGGTTGTTAGACTGACAAACCTCAAAGGGAAGGGAGGGGGAGAGAAATAAACCAAAGAACTTCTATGCATATGTGCATAACAAATGGACACAGACAACAGTGTGGGGAAAGGCAGGAGGGGGCGAAGAGCAGAAAGGAGGGGGTCAATAGAGGAAAAAGGAGGAACATCTGTAATATATTCAACATAAAAGGTAAGTTTAAAAACAAAAGATTTATTGGATAAGCTCTAAAAAGTCCAAAACTAACAGGAATGGACTTTGCCACAGTTATACATATTCAAAATGAAAAGTTATTTTGAGAACTTTTTAAGTCGCTATATGCTTTAATACCCTAGAGACTTGAAATGCCTAATAGTATGTTGGAACCTTAAAGAAGCACTGTGGGTGCATTAGAGGAAGGGGAATTATAATTCAGTCCTGTTATTAAAAAGGCCGGCACAAACTCGACAGCCAGAAAGAAACAGAAAGATACAAAGAAAGACAGAAAGAAAGAAAGAAAGAAAGAAAGAAAGAAAGAAAGAAGAAAGAAAGAAAGAAAGAAAGAAAGAAAGAAAGAAAGAAAGAAAGAAAAAGAAAGAAAGAAAGAGAAATATTTAAAGTCAAATTCACAGAAGCAGAGAATAAAATGGCAGGTGTAAAGAACTGGGGTAGGAGGAAATGGGTAGTTGTTGGTCAGTGGGTATAAAGTTAAAGATGTAGAAGATGAATGGATTTTAGAAATTTGCTCTACAGCATTGTGCCTAGAGGTAACAAAAACAGTGTGAAGAACTTAAAAACTTGTGAAGAGGGTAGAGTTTATGCTAAGTGTTTTTAACACAACTAAAACAAGGGGACATAAAAAATCTTCAGTGGTGATGAACAGGTTTTTCCCTTAATTATGGAAATGATATTATGGTGCATGCATACGTCCAAACTCAACAAAATGTATACATTGGACCTAAAACTTTTTTTTTTTTTTTTTTGCATATTAAGTATAACTCAATAAACCTGAAGGAAAAGAAAAAACATCACATTTCATGACTTAAATTTTCTCCTGGAACTGTTGTTTCCCATCAATGGACCAGGAGGGGAAAGTCCTAAGAGTCTCATGCTCATGCCAGTGACTCTGTTTCACATTCACAAATTCTCTGCCCACCTGACCCACAATGAGTGAGCCATCAAACTAACATGCAGCTTTATCCTCCCAAGTCACCAGAAAGAATGTGGCTTATTAGAGCCTTTATCACTCAAGGGGCCACACGCTGGGCTGTGCAACATGAGACCAACACACACACCGGCTAAAGGCACAAACCATGTGACAGATTTCTTGGAGGAAGCTGAAGCAAAAAAGACACATAAGAGGTGATTTGGTAAGAGCTGAAGTGATGAATACTAACACATCAGGAAAAGGAAACAATGTTTCCCATCCATCTTCAAAAGGTTAACCAGGAAAACAAACTTGGCTACTTTGATAATCGCCTGCTAATTAGGACAAACAATGACAAGGAAAGAGCTCTGCAGCTGATGACAGCAGCCCCTTAGCAGGGTATAAAAGGGGAGCTGGGCCAAGCAGACTTCCAAACCTTCCAAACCCACCTTCCTGAAAACTCACTCAGAACCTCCACCCTCTGCAATTATGGTCAACTCCTGTAGTGGATCCGTGTGCTCTGACCAGGGCTGTGGCCAAGGCTGTGGCCAGGAGACCTGCTGCCGCCCCAGCTGCTGCCAGACCACCTGCTGTGGGACCACATGCTGCCGCCCCTCTTGCTGTGGCTCCAGCTGCTGTCGCCCCATCTGCTGCCAGACCACCTGCTGCCGCCCTAGTTGCTGTGGCTCCTGCTGTGGCTCCAGCTGCTGTCGCCCTTCCTGCTGTGGCTCCAGCTGCTGTCGCCCCATCTGCTGCCAGACCACCTGCTGTCGCCCTAGCTGCTGTGGCTCCTGCTGTGGCTCTAGCTGCTGCCGCCCTAGCTGCTGTGGCTCCTGCTGTGGCTCCAGCTGCTGCCGCCCCTCCTGCTGTGGCTCCAGCTGCTGCCGCCCCATCTGCTGCCAGACCACCTGCTGTCGCCCTAGCTGCTGTGGCTCCTGCTGTGGCTCCAGCTGCTGCCGCCCCTCCTGCTGTGTCTCCAGCTGCTGTCGCCCCATCTGCTGCCAGACCACCTGCTGCCGCCCCACCTGTTGCATCACTACCTGCTGCCCCACCTGCTGCCAGACCAACTGTTGCCGCCCAGTCTGCTCTAGTGGTTCCTGCTGCTGACCGCCCTGACCTGTGCCCATGTTTTTTGTCAGCCAGCCTTAACGTAGTCCAACTGAACTGAGTCTTGAGAACCCAACTGTAAAACTTCAGTTTTAACTGATTCTTAAACTGATTTGACATCAAATATACTGCCCCCACCATGTTACTACCTCTCTCCCAAATGAACACAAAGTTAAAATTTTCTCTGAAACCTTTCAACCAATATGTATCCCAACTGATATACTTCTTCCCTGCCAGATAATCTCATATGAAGCCAATTCTCAAACTTAAATAAATCTTTATTTTCCAAACATACAAATATAAGAGCATCGAGTCTGATTATTATTCCTTCTTGACCCAAAATTCTTAGCTGTGAATTGCTCCACTGTTCTCTGCAGAGAGCACACTATAACTGGTGATATCAGGATTTCTAACTAAATCCCCTTATCTCTTGTTTATAAAAAGATGATTTCGTCCAGCAAGCACCTGGAATTCTCTGAGAGCTTTCTCTGCATGGAGAGCAAGCTTGGGGCAGCCAGGGACTTAAGTCGGTAGGAACAGGGTTCAACCAGGGGACGGGAGCAGTGGACAAATGCTCCAGCTTCTTTCCCCTGCAGTGGGGCAGGTCGTACCAGTCTCTAGAGGTCGTCAGTGGAATGAACCCCAGCTGCCTACGGAGTAAGCTCTTTCCACATCATTCTATATTGGCTTCCATCAATTGCCTGGGTCACTTCCCAGGTCCCCTGAAGTGCTTCTTAGTATTCTCTCCCTAATGTACCATTGGATTTGAAACCACCTGGGGGTCTGCTCCTGAGGGCACCCAATCTAAGACACCCGTGTTGCAAATCTCATGACCAGGGCCCTGAAAACATTTTGTTACAGTCAAGTCTTGTCAGCTGAACCACGAAATCTTCGGGACATTTTCTATTTCTTGCCACTTTTTCACACTTGTATGTACATGACTAGTCTTCCCGTGTTTTTCTCCAGTCATTGTGTCTGAGAGACAGGACACAGCACAAGGTACATGGCTCACCATGCCAGCATCTGTCACCCTAAAGGAGACTGCAGTCATGGGAAACCACCCCACCCTGCATGCCTCGTGTTGGATTTATAACGAGCAGAGCCTGACGCTAGGAATCTTGCACAAGTGATGTTGAAGGAAGTGTTTCCAGGAGAAGTCAGTGAGAAGCAGAGCGCAGCAGGATAGGGTATTAAAGAAGATAGGCCAGAACATGGTCGCAGTGGAATTCTATGATCATCTGACCTCGCAGATGAGGGCGTGAACAGTACCACAGACCTTCCCTGCTGGAGGCCTGGTGCCAGGGGCTTTGCACTCCTACATCAGTTACCACTAGTCTGCACCGCCCTGATAGGGAGAAGGGGCGGAGAGCCACACCAGCAGGTGGGAGGCTCCTTGAGGTCAGAACATTACCTGGAGAACACGGGCTTGACCAGTCTTAGTTACCAGCAGCCCATACTCACACTAACTTGGGCATGGGGTACTTTTTGCAAAAGGTAATATAGTCAGTGAGTTCGGTTTTTGGCTTTATGAGTAAATCTATTCTACTATACCCACTTCTCTGCATCTGTTGAACCCTTCATCCTAATTTGTGTGTTGTGTGGTGCAAGATAAAATAAAAAGGTCATGAATATTAAAAGGTGATGAAGGTGAATGGTATAGAAGTAAAAGCATATTCTATATTGATGGCAATGAACCTTATTTCACATTTTACTTTGAAATAACCACAGATGCACAGAATGCTGTAAAGAGCACAGCAGTGTCCCGCATACCCCTGCCCAGTTTCCTCACTGGCCACATTTTATTTATAGTCCATATCCAAACTTACAACCTTACATAAGTACAAACCACAGATCTTGTTCAGAATTTACCATATTTCCGTGCGTGAGAGTATGTGTGCATGTGTGTGTGCAGTTCTATGCAGTATTATCATGCGTGCTCTATGATTTCATATAACCACCATCACAGTGAAGATACAGAACTGTTTCCCTGGCCAGTTTGGCTCAACAGTTAGAGCATCAGCTCATGGACCAGAGAGTCCCAGGTTCGATTCTTGCTAAGGACATGTACCTCCATTGCAGTTTGTCCCCGACCCTGGTTGGGGTCATGTGGGTAGCAGCCAATCGATGTTTCTCTCCCTCTCTCCCTCCCTCTCTATCTGAAGATAAATATAAAAAATGTCCTTGAGTGAGGATTAAAAAGAAAAAAAGATACAGAGGTGTCCTTCTCCATAAGGCTTCTTCATTGTAGCCACACCCACGGCCTTCACTCCCCTCATTAACTTCTGGATAAAGAAGGGGAGAAAGGAGAGAGCAAACACTTCATTTATTAAACCAAAACATTTCATTTGGATGAAAAACTCCATATAAAACTGAAACTGTTAATGTACAAGAAAAAATCATGAGGAATTTTGAAACAAAATTTTAAGTTTATCCTAAGGAACACACACACACACACACACACACACACACCTCATGAAGAAAAAATATATGCTAAGTTAATATAAATATAAATGATCTCTACTGAGTTATCAATGGGCCTCAGTCATCAGGGCTCCCAGGGGACATCCTTTTCCAAACATAGGAAGCCATATGGAATTCTTAGAGTCTTTTTCAGACTCTATAGCCTTCACTTCACAATTTCAAATCTGCTTCTGTCCCCGCCTTTTTCTGTGACAGAAAAGAGGCTCAGGACTTTTCCGGTGAAAAGCTGCATCCGGTTCAGCAGAGCCATGACAACGCAGACTCAGAACACCAGCCACGCCTCCCAGCAGAGCCCCAGTCAGGAGTCCAGGTTGTCATCATCCTGGTTGTGTCTACCTGGAAATTTGAGCCAGGGCAGAAGTGGAAACTGGCCAGGAATTTAAAAGCAACATGAGGAGTTTGGTTTTATTAGACTTATAAGTCACTTAAGTTAGTAAGGGATCCTCACACCCATCTCATCTAATCTCCTCCACATTGTTCTTGATTCTTCCTCTGTAACCCCAGCTTATAGTCCCACCGCTCCACTGACTATCTGTGGAGGCAGCCATGCCATGAACCACACTCACCATGGTGACTCAAGTATGATTCTGTGAGACACCCACTTACCCTATATCAGCCCATTACGGTAATTTGGGGAAAGTCCATCTCCCCCAAGCAACAACCATATGAGTAGCTCACCAGTGTTTAAAAAACAACAACAGCCACGAAAAACCACTGAAAGATCATTGGCTGGCTCCTTATATACATTTTCCCCTTGGGAGTCAAGGAAAGTCAGGAGGGAGAAGGACACTTACTACTGAATCTGTTTTTGTATTATGTTTTGCCAAATAGGCATCAGTTTCTACTTTAGGATGGTTCTGGGTAGCCATTCCTTCTCTGATTAGTCATCCCAATAACAGAGCCCAGGACATCCCAACTTGGTTGAGAATTATCTCATAAATGTGGAAATGAGAAATAAAATATGGGAGTCTTTTCATGAAAATATTTGGAAGCCTTAGAGTAAGGGGAGAGTGAATAAGTTGAAAGACAAAATCATGATTCAAGAAGTTTCAGACATCCTTGCACAAGACATGAAATTCCACAGGATGAAATGTCAGATCCCTTCTGGGATTTAGATGAGTAGTTATTAAGGCAACATGGCACCTGAGTTGGAGTGGGAACATAGATATCTAAATTACTTGGGAGAATTGATTTGAACCACCCACACAGCCTAATGTTGTACTGACTCTCAGCACCTCTTCCCAGGAAGAGCAACATCAATGCGAGCCGTGTCACTCCTGGTATCAGGCAGAGGAGCCGACTGAGAACTCCTGGACTACAGCTATCCCCTGCACACCTGTAAGAGAGATTGAAGCAGTGGGTGGTGAAGACAGATATTTAGATGGTACAACTTCAGCATGTGGCACATTGCCGACCACTGTTGCCATTAAACTATGAATGACAACAATGATACATTGATGAAAGTGTCTATCATTCAGCCTTAAATAAATCTCTGGTTTCCGACAACACAAATGGTCCTGAAAGACGTTACGCTAAGTAACATAAGTTGGTCACAGAAGTACAAATATTGCATGATTCCACTCATTGAAATATTTAAAACAGGCAAGTTCATAGAGGCAGAAAATAAAATGGCAGGTGTAAGGAAATGGGTGGTTGTTGTTCAGTGGGGTATAAAGTTAAAGATAAATTAATTTTAGAAATCTGCTGTACAACATTGTGCCTATAGTTAACAATAACAGTGTGATAAACTTACAAACTTGTGAAGAGGGTAGAGCTCATGCTAAGCGTTTTTAACACACATAAACAATGGGACATAAAAACTCTTCAGTGGTGATGAATCGGTTTTACCTTAAATAAGGAAATGGTATTATGATGCACGCATAAGTCCAAATTCATCAAAATGTATACATTAGACATGTGCAATTTCTTTGTATACTAGGTATAACTCAATAAATCTAAGAGAAAAGAAAAAACGTCAAAATTTCATGACTTACATTTTCTCCTGGAACTGTTGTTTCCCACCAATGGGCCATGATTCACAGCCAGGAGGGGAAAGTCCTAAAATCCTCATGCTCATGCCAGTGACACCCTGTTTCACACTCAAAACTTCTCTGCCCACCTGGCCCACAATGAGTGAGCCATCAAACTCACATGCAGCTTTATCCTCCCAAGTCAGCAGAAAGAATGTGGCTTATTAGAGCCTTTATCACCCAAGGGGACACACGCTGGGCTGTGCAACACGAGACCAACACACACACCGGCTAAAGGCACAAACCACGTGACATTTCTTGGAGGAAGCTGAAGCAAGAGGGACACATAAGAGGTGATTCGGGAAGAGGTGAAGTGATGGACCCTAACACATCAGGAAAAGGAAACAATGTTTCCCATCCATCTTCAAAAGGTTAACCAGGAAAACAAACTTGGCTACTTTGATAATCGCTTGCTAATGAGGACAAACAATGACAAGGAAAGAGCTCTGCAGCTGATGACAGCAGCCCCTTAGCAGGGTATAAAAGGGGAGCTGGGCCAAGCAGACTTCCAAACCTTCCAAACCCACCTTCCTGAAAACTCACTCAGAACCTCCACCCTCTGCAACCATGGTCAACTCCTGTAGTGGATCCGTGTGCTCTGACCAGGGCTGTGGCCAAGGCTGTGGCCAGGAGACCTGCTGCCGCCCCAGCTGCTGCCAGACCACCTGCTGTGGGACCACATGCTGCCGCCCCTCTTGCTGTGGCTCCAGCTGCTGTCGCCCCATCTGCTGCCAGACCACCTGCTGCCGCCCTAGTTGCTGTGGCTCCTGCTGTGGCTCCAGCTGCTGTCGCCCTTCCTGCTGTGGCTCCAGCTGCTGTCGCCCCATCTGCTGCCAGACCACCTGCTGCCGCCCTAGCTGCTGTGGCTCCTGCTGTGGCTCTAGCTGCTGCCGTCCCATTTGTTGCCAGACCACCTGCTGCCGCCCTAGCTGCTGTGGCTCCTGCTGTGGCTCCAGCTGCTGCCGCCCCTCCTGCTGTGGCTCCAGCTGCTGCCGCCCCATCTGCTGCCAGACCACCTGCTGCCGCCCTAGCTGCTGTGGCTCCAGCTGTGGCTCCAGCTGCTGCCGCCCCTCCTGCTGTGTCTCCAGCTGCTGTCGCCCCATCTGCTGCCAGACCTCCTGCTGCCGCCCCACCTGTTGCATCACTACCTGCCGCCCCACCTGCTGCCAGACCACCTGTTGCCGCCCAGTCTGCTCCAGTGGTTCCTGCTGCTGACCGCCCTGACCTGTGCCCATGTTTTTTGTCAGCCAACCTTAACGTAGTCCAACTGAACTGAGTCTTGAGAACCCAACTATAAAACTTCAGTTATAACTGATTCTTAAACTGATTTGACAACAAATATACTGCCCCCACCATGTTACTACCTCTTTCCCAAATGAACACAAAGTTAAAATTTTCTCTGAAACCTTTCAACCAATATGTATCCCAACTGATATACTTCTTCCCTGCCAGATAATCTCATATGAAGCCAATTCTCAAACTTAAATAAATCTTTATTTTCCAAGCATACAAATATAAGAGCATCAAGTCTGATTATTATTCCTTCTTGACCCAAAATTCTTAGCTGTGAATTGCTCCACTGTTCTCTGCAGAGAGCACACTATAACTGGTGATATCAGGATTTCTAACTAAATCCCCTTATCTCTTGTTTATAAGAAGATGATTTCTTTCAGCAAGCACCTGGAATTCTCTGAGAGCTTCCTCTGCATGGAGAGCAAGCTCAGGGCAGCCAGGGACTTAAGTCGGTAGGAACAGGGCTCAGCCAGGGGACGGGAGCAGTGGATAAATGCTCCAGCATCTTTCCCCTGCAGTGGGGCAGGTCACACCAGTCTCTAGAGGTCGTCAGTGGAATGAACCCCAGCTGCCTAAGGAGTAAGCTCTTTCTACATCTTTCTATACTGGCTCCCATCAATTGCCTGGGTCACTTCCCAGGTCCCCTGAAGTGCTTCTTAGTATTCTCTCCCTAATGTACATTGGATTTGAAACCATCTGGGGTCTGCTCCTGAGGGCACCCAATCTAAGACACCCGTGTTGCAAATCTCATGACCAGGGCCCTGAAAACATTTTGTTACAGTCAACTCTTGTCAGCTGAACCACGAAATCTTCGGGACATTTTCTATTTCTTGCCACTTTTTCACACTTGTATGTACATGACTAGTCTTCCCGTGTTTTTCTCCAGTCATTGTGTCTGAGAGACAGGACACAGCACAAGGTACAGGGCTCACCATGCCAGCATCTGTCACCCTAAAGGAGACTGCGGTCATGGGGAACCACCCCACCCTGCATGCCTCGTGTTGGATTTATAACGAGCAGAGCCGGACACTAGATTCTTGCACAAGTGATGTTGAAGGAAGTGTTTCCAGGAGAAACCAGTGAGAAGCAGAGCGCAGCAGGATAGGGTATTAAAGAAGATAGGCCAAAACATGGTCGCAGTGGGATTCTATGATCATCTGACCTGCAGATGAGGGCGTGAACAGTACCACAGACCTTCCCCCTGGAGGCCGGGCGCCGGGGGCTTTGCACTCCTACATCAGTTACCACTAGTCTGCACCGCCCTGATAGGGAGAAGGGGCGGAGAGCCACACCAGCAGGTGGGAGGCTCCTCGAGGTCAGAACATTACCTGGAGAACACGGGCTTGACCAGTCTTAGCTACCAGCAGCCCATACTCACACTAACTTGGGCATGGGGTACTTATGGCGAAAGGTAATATAGTCAGTGAGTTGGGTTTTTGGCTTTATGAGTAAATCTATTCTACTATACCCACTTCTCTGCATCTTTTGGACCCTTCATCCTCATCTGTGTGTTGTGTGGTGCAAGATAAAATAAAAAGGTCATGAATATTAAAAGGTGATGAAGGTGAATGGTATAGAAGTAAAAGCATATTCTATATTGATGGCAATGAACCTTATTTCACATTTTACTTTGAAATAACCACAGATGCACAGAATGCTGTAAAGAGCACAGCAGTGTCTCGCATACCCCTGCCAGTTTCCTCACTGGCCACATCTTATTTATAGTCCATATCCAAACTTACAACCTTACATAAGTACAAACCACAGATCTTGTTCAGAATTGACCATATTTCCGTGCGTGAGAGTATGTGTGCATGTGTGTGTGCAGTTCTATGCAGTATTATCATGCGTGCTCTATGATTTCATATAACCACCATCACAGTGAAGATACAGAACTGTTTCCCTGGCCAGTTTGGCTCAACAGTTAGAGCATCAGCTCATGGACCAGAGAGTCCCAGGTTTGATTCCTGCTAAGGACATGTACCTCCATTGCAGTTTGTCCCCGACCCTGGTTGGGGTCATGTGGGTAGCAGCCAATCGATGTGTCTCTCTCACATCGATGTTTCTCTCCCTCTCTCCCTCCCTCTCTATCTGAAGATAAATATAAAAAATGTCCTTGGGTGAGGATTCAAAAGAAAAAAAGATACAGAGGTGTCCTTCTCCATAAGGCTTCTTCATTGTAGCCACACCCACGGCCTTCACTCCCCTCATTAACTTCTGGATAAAGAAGGGGAGAAAGGAGAGAGCAAACACTTCATTTATTAAACCAAAACATTTCATTTGGATGAAAAACTCCATATAAAACTGAAACTGTTAATGTACAAGAAAAAATCATGAGGAATTTTGAAACAAAATTTTAAGTTTATCCTAAGGAACACACACACACAAACACACACACACGCACCTCATGAGGAAAAAATATACGCTAAGTTAATATAATATAAATGATCTCTACTGAGTTATCAATGGGCCTCAGTCATCAGGGCTCCCAGGGGACATCCTTTTCCAAACATAGGAAGCCATATGGAATTCTTAGAGTCTTTTTCAGACTCTATAGCCTTCACTTCACAATTTCAAATCTGCTTCTGTCCCCGCCTTTTTCTGTGACAGAAAAGAGGCTCAGGACTTTTCCGGTGAAAAGCTGCATCCGGTTCAGCAGAGCCATGACAACGCAGACTCAGAACACCAGCCACGCCTCCCAGCAGAGGTCCAGTCAGGAGTCCAGGTTGTCATCATCCTGGTTGTGTCTACCTGGAAATTTGAGCCAGGGCAGAAGTGGAAACTGGCCAGGAATTTAAAAGCAACATGAGGAGTTTGATTTTATTAGATTTACAAGTCACTTAAGTTAGTAAAGGATCCTCACACCCATCTCATCTAATCTCCTCCACATTGTTCTTGATTCTTCCTCTGTAACCCCAGCTTATAGTCCCACCGCTCCACTGACTATCTGTGGAGGCAGCCATGCCATGAACCACACTCACCATGGTGACTCAAGTATGATTCTGTGAGACACCCACTTACCCTATATCAGCCCATTACGGTAATTTGGGGAAAGTCCATCTCTCCCAAGCAACAACCATATGAGTAGCTCACCAGTGTTTAAAAAACAACAACAGCCACGAAAAACCACTGACAGATCATTGGTTGTCTCCTTATATACGTTTTCCCCTTGGGAGTCAAGGAAAGTCAGGAGGGAGAAGGACACTTACTATTGAATCTGTTTTTGTATTATGTTTTGCCAAATAGGCATCAGTTTCTACTTTAGGATGGTTCTGGGTAGCCATTCCTTCTCTGATTAGTCATCCCAATAACAGAGCCCAGGACATCCCAACTTGGTTGAGAATTATCTCATAAATGTGGAAATGAGAAATAAAATATGGGAGTCTTTTCATGAAAATATTTGGAAGCCTTACAGTAAGGGGAGAGTGAATAAGTTGAAAGACAAAAATCATGATTCAAAAAGTTTCAGACATCCTTGCACAAGACATGAAATTCCACAGGATGAAATGTCAGATCCCTTCTGGGATTTAGATGAGTAGTTATTAAGGCAACATGGCACCTGAGTTGGAGTGGGAACATAGATATCTAAATTACTTGGGAGAATTGATTTGAACCACCCACACAGCCTAATGTTGTACTGACTCTCAGCACCTCTTCCCAGGAAGAGCAACATTAATGCGAGCCGTGTCACTCCTGGTATCAGGCAGAGGAGCCGACTGAGAACTCCTGGACTACAGCTATCCCCTGCAAACCTGTAAGAAAGACTGAAGCAGTGGGGGGTGAAGACAGATACTTAGATGGTACAACTTCAGCATGTGGCACACTGCCGATCACTGTTGCCATTAAACTATGAATGACAACAATGATACATTGATGAAAGTGTCTATCATTCAGCCTTAAATAAATCTCTGGTTTCCGACAACACAAATGGTCCTGAAAGACGTTACGCTAAGTAACATAAGTTGGTCACAGAAGTACAAATATCCCATGATTCCACTCATTGAAATATTTAAAACAGTCAAGTTCATAGAGGCAGAAAATAAAATGGCAGGTGTAAGGAAATGGGTGGTTGTTGTTCAGTGGGGTATAAAGTTAAAGATGTAGAAGATAAATTAATTGTAGAAATCTGCTGTACAACATTGTGCCTATAGTTAACAATAACAGTGTGATAAACTTACAAGCTTGTGAAGAGGGTAGAGCTCATGCTAAGCGTTTTTAACACACATAAACAATGGGACATAAAAACTCTTCAGTGGTGATGAATCGGTTTTACCTTAATTAAGGAAATGGTATTACGGTGCACGCATAAGTCCAAACTCATCAAAATGTATACATTAGACATGGGCAATTTCTTTCTATACTAGGTATGTATCAATAAATCTAAGAGAAAAGAAAAAACGTCAAAATTTCATGACTTACATTTTCTCCTGGAACTGTTGTTTCCCACCAATGGGCCATGATTCACAGCCAGGAGGGGAAAGTCCTAAAATCCTCATTCTCATGCCAGTGACACCCTGTTTCGCACTCAAAACTTCTCTGCCCACCTGGCCCACAATGAATGAGCCATCAAACTCACATGCAGCTTTATCCTCCCAAGTCAGCAGAAAGAATGTGGCTTATTAGAGTCTTTATCACCCAAGGGGACCCACGCTGGGCTGTGCAACACGAGACCAACACACACACCGGCTAAAGGCACAAACCACGTGACATTTCTTGGAGGAAGCTGAAGCAAGAGGGACACATAAGAGGTGATTCGGGAAGAGGTGAAGTGATGGACCCTAACACATCAGGAAAAGGAAACAATGTTTCCCATCCATCTTCAAAAGGTTAACCAGGAAAACAAACTTGGCTACTTTGATAATGGCCTGCTAATTAGGACAAACAATGACAAGGAAAGAGCTCTGCAGCTGATGACAGCAGCCCCTTAGCAGGGTATAAAAGGGGAGCTGGGCCAAGCAGACTTCCAAACCTTCCAAACCCACCTTCCTGAAAACTCACTCAGAACCTCCACCCTCTGCCACCATGGTCAACTCCTGTAGTGGATCCGTGTGCTCTGACCAGGGCTGTGGTCAGGAGACCTGCTGCCGCCCCAGCTGCTGCCAGACCACCTGCTGTGGGACCACATGCTGCCGCCCCTCTTGCTGTGGCTCCAGCTGCTGTCGCCCCATCTGCTGCCAGACCACCTGCTGCCGCCCCAGCTGCTGTGGCTCCAGCTGCTGTTGCCCCATCTGCTGCCTCCCTAGCTGCTGTGGCTCCGGTTGTGGCTCCAGCTGCTGTAGGCCTACGTGTTGCTGTCGCCCCATCTGCTGCCGCCCTAGCTGCTGTGGCTCCTGCTGTGGCTCCAGCTGCTGTAGGCCTACCTGTTGCTGTCGCCCCATCTGCTGCCGCCCTAGCTGCTGTGGCTCCTGCTGTGGCTCCAGCTGCTGCAGGCCCACCTGCTGTGTCTCCAGCTGCTGCAAGCCCACCTGCTGTGTCTCCAGCTGCTGCCGCCCTAGCTGCTGTGGCTCCTGCTGCGGCTCCAGCTGCTGCAGGCCCACCTGCTGTGTCTCCAGCTGCTGCAGGCCCACCTGCTGTGGCTCCAGCTGCTGCAAGCCCACTTGTTGCATCTCTAGCTGCTGCCGCCCCTCCTGCTGTGGTTCCTGTTGTTGCCGCCCCAGCTGCTGCCAGACCACCTGCTACAAGACCACCTGCTGCCGCCCAGTCTGCTCTAGCGGTTCCTGCTGCTGACCGCCCTGACCTGTGCCCACCTGGTTTTCTTCAATCTTAATGTAGTCCAACTGATCTGAGTCTTGAGAGGCCAATTGTAAAACCTCAGTTCCAACTGACTGTTAAACTGACTTGGGCCTCCAAATATACTGCCCCCACCATGTTACTATCTCTCTCCCGAATGAACACAACGTTTGCATTTTCTCTGAAATTCTCCCACTAACATGCCTTCCAAATTGATATGTTTCTTCCCTGCCAGCTCTCTCGTATGGAGCTGTCCCTAAATCTTAAATAAATCTCACTTGTGCAGGCATACAAGAGCACCGTGCCTCCTTTTCCCTTCCTGCGCCGCCACCCTCACCTGTCACTTGCGCTGTTGTCTCTGAGGGAGCAGAGTGCAGGGATTTCAGGGTTGCTGACTTGGTTCCCACACATCCTCACTTGTTACAGGAAGATGGTTTCTTACAGCAAGCACCTGGAACTCTCCACCTGCGGACTTTCTCCGGGCAAAGGAGCAAGCCCTGGGCAGGCGAGTTACCGTCTCCACGAACGTCGCCCAGCCAGCGACAGGCGTGTTCCATCAGTGCTGTAGCTTCTTTTTCCTTAGTTGGGCCATGTCGTCCCAGTTCCCAGGGGTCCTCGGTAAGGCTGGATCCCCGCTGGCTGTAGCAGTGATCTGCTTGTTAAGTCTTCATGGGGGACCAAGAGTGTCCGGGTGCAGCTCTGCTGGCCTCTCCTTCCTCGCCTGTGTCAACTCTGCACTCAAGGGTTAGCTCTCACTGGGTTCGGTCTAATGTCTTCACTGAGAAAGGATCCAAATCCCCATTCGTGTATGTGGTTGTTGCCAGGGTTCGGTTCCTCTAGGGCCATTAGAGACAGAGCCTCAGTTCCTTGCTGGTTGTCAAAGGGAGACTGTTCTCAGCACCTTGCCACGTCGACTCCACACAGCTGCTTCCTTCCTCCAAGACAGTGAGGCGGGGGAGAGTTGCTAGCAAGATGAAAGTCTCCATCTTTTAAAACTTAATCACTTGATGTTGGTTAGAAGCAAGTTATTCAGGAGGAGGGAATTACGCAAGACCCTGAGCACCAAGAGGTAGAAGTCGCTGGGCCACCTTAGAGGCTGCCTCCCACAACTCACATGATACTCAGTGAAAGAATAAAAACACATAATACATACATGAAGATTCCACTTACATAACATTCAAAAACATGTGAAACTAAAGTATATTTTTAGGATGCATACCTAGGTGATAAAACTGTGAAGAAAATCAATGAAAAGATTACTTTAAGAGTCAGGATAGCGATCATCTGTAGTGGGGAAGGAGAGAGATGTGGTCGGGAAGAGACACATCACGGGCCCCTTGGTGACAGCACAGTTCTGTTTCTTGACTCAGGTGTTGGCGTATATAGATGTTTGCTTCATACTTATTTATTATAGTATACATGTATATTGTATATACTTTTCAGTATACAGTAGTCCCCCCTCAAATCCAAGGTTTTGCTTTCTGTAGCTTTAGTTACCCGCAGTCAACCACGGTCTGACATCGTAACTGGAAAATTTCAGAAAACAGTTCATAAGCTGTAAATAGCTCACCATTCTGAGTAGCAGTGAAATCCATGCTGTCCTGCTCCATCCCACTGACTGTGAATCATCCTTTGTCCAGGGTATCCACACTGTACACCCCGCCCGCCCACAGGTCACCTCCTAGCTGTCTCGTTATCAGATCAACTGTCTTGGTATCGCAGTGCCTGTGGTTGTCACCCTTGTTTACTTAATAATTCCTCAAAGTGCAAGAGTAGTGATGCTGGTGATGCAGATGTGCCAGAGAGAAGCCCTGAAATGCTTCCCTTCAGTGAAAGTTTTTAGTAAAAAAACATTTTTAAAAAATCATATACTGCCTGGCTGGTGTGGCTCAGTGGTTGAGCATTGACCCACGCACCAAGAGATCACCGGTTCAATTCCAGTCAGGGCACATGCCCAGGCTGTGGGCCTGATCCCCAGCTGGGGGCATGCAGGAGGCGGCCAATCGATGTTCTCTCTCATCAGTGTTTCTATCTCTCTCTCCCTCTCCCTTCCTCTCTCTAAAGTCAATAAAAAATAAATTTAAAAAAAGCGTATACTGAGGTTACTAATATCTACAGTAAGAAGAGATCTTCTATCCATAAATTGATGAAAGAAAAACAACATTTGTATTAGTTTGCTGGGAGAAACCATTCACGTAACTCTTATTATAGTATAGTCTTAGAATTGTTCTTTCATTAGTTATGTTTATCTCTTACTGTGTCTAATTTATAAATTAAAGTTTATCAAAGGTATGTGTTTATAGGGGGGGAAGTAGTATATATAGGGTTCCTTACTACTGTGGTTTCAGGGATCCTCTGGGGTTCTTGAAACATACCCCCAGGGATAAGAGGGGTCTACTGCATGTGTACTTTTTATAATAAGGTAGAGTTTTTAAAAAAAAATCAGGGTGAACTGAAATGCTTACTTTATTTAATATTTGAAAAGAAAGTTTAAATTAAGCAGTGAGTGAAGATAGATAAAAAAGAAAGAAAAATTCAATCAATGGTATATGGGCATTTATATCATTTTAAATATTGTTCCAATCACACATACACTACTTAATATCAAGACTGGTAACACTGTTTAATGTTTACTGTTAAATATTCTAATAGAGTTTAATTTTTATTATAAAGAAACTTTCATTGAATGAAAATATTTTAATTTCCCCATCATTTAGCTATACCTGTTAGAGGTCCCTCTATTTAGATCAAAGTATCACCAAGTCACTATAATTCACTTAGTGAATTACATAGCTACCAACAAAATACATACCAGGGTTTTGTTTTGTTTTTTAATGATGAGTACCAATGTAATATAGGTCAAACCTAATATTAAAAACCATGTCGCCCCCCCCTTCCTCTCTTAAAAGCATATGTTAACACGCTGTGTCCCTTTCCCTGGGAGGCAGAAGCAGGTTCTTCCATGTTGACTAAATGTCACCTGGGTCCACTTCATCCAAATTTCCTTGATGTTGACCTAAGGAAGGTCCTTTATTATGGAATTCTAAAAGGACAATAAAGAGATTAGTTTAAAAAGAAAAAAAAGTACATGAAAGTAAACATCACCCTCCATCTACTCCATGCCATTAGAGGTAGTTTAGATAGACAAGACTTAATTTGTGTGTGTGGCCCTGGTGTTCACGATCAATTCTGCTTTACCAGACTGCGGGTAAAAATGTTAGCAAGGAACAGGTAGAAGGATCTCTGCCTAGTTTTTATTTTTGTCTTTTGGAGACATCCAGTGTACTGTCTACAGTAATTTCCCAGTGCGGTTCCTGCCCACTGTCCCTTCTCATCCAGGTAGGTGTTATATACAAAACCAGGTCGGGGAGTGGGAGGCTCTAAAAGGGAAAAGAAAATCATCAATGTTTCAGTCTGAAAGTGCTCAAAGTTCAGTGTTTCCAATTCAGGATTGTTTTCTCTATGATTTTAGATGTTACCAAGCATATTTTAGTTACTACAGTTCCCAATGTAATGTACTAATATACGTAAGGTAGACAGTTTAAGGAGGTGGGTCTCCAACCGGGCTGCCCATTAAGATTACCTGAGGAGCTTTCGAAACTTCTGACACCCAGGCCAGACACCAGACCCGTTAAGTCAGAGTGTTTCTGGGCGAGAGCCAGGCGTGGGTACTTTCCATGACTCCGTGTATTCCCACATGCAGCCGGCCTGGCGAAGCCCTGGTCCAGGGGTCCGTATTCTCTCCACGCTTCTCCGGAATGAGAATGCACTTCTGCCTCGGCAGCTTTGCGGAAGGATTTTCTTAATCTCCCTGAATTGATATAGAAAACTCTCCCCTTGTAATCAAAAACCTTTTTTATTATGTTGTTGTTTCTCTCAGAATCTCATAGAGAGCAAATCAAGTGGGAAATTTCTCCCCTCAGGACACCGTGTTGCCTCACGATATAATTGTTTAAATGTCTCATATTCCCTAGCCCTGCAGATGAAGACCTATAAATAAAAGCATGCAAATCAAGTTTTTGCTAAGCACGTCGTTGTGATAAAAATATTTCCAGGAGCTTGGTCTTTCAATGGTTACAATTAAGACATTTAAGGATGTCATCCGAGGTGACCAATGTTTGCCTGGGATGTTCCTGATTTTAACACTGAGAGTCCTGAGAACCCCCTCAATCCTGAGCAAACAGAGGGAGTTGGTCCCCCTACCATGAAACTGACTGGTAACAGTTAAAATGAATCCTTGGTTCTGAATGCACTAATGAAACATGCATCTTATGCCAAGCTAAAGGTGCCAGACAGACAGGAAATTCTACTGTAGCTTTTGTTTGAAGTTCTAGATCAAACTAGTCTATGGTGAGAAATATTAAGACAGTGGGTGCCTCTACAGTGGAGGAGAGCTTACTAAAGTGACAGGTGGGAACTCTCTGGTATGATGGAAATGGCCTCTGGCCTCTGTCTTTTTTTTTTTTTATCCTCACCCGAGGACATTTTTGAACATTTTTGGTTCAGATAAAGTGGGGGAGAGAGAGAGAGAGAGAAACATTGACGTGAAAGGGACACATCAAGTGGTTGCCACCCACACGACCCAACTAGGGCTGGAGACAAACTGCAACCGAGGTACGTGCTCTTAGCGGAAACCGAACCCGGGTCTCTCTGGACCACAGGCCAACGCTCTAACCGCTGAGCCAAACCAGCCAGGGCTGGCCTCTGTCTTGATAGGTGTGTGGTTACATGAATGAATCTATTTATCAAAACTCATCAAATAGTACACTTAGGATTTGTGCATTTCAACATATGCAAATTTTACCTAAAGTGCAAAATAAATCATAAAAGATAAATTAAAAGCAATGACTAGAAATATTCATTTATGAATAAACCTATGTCTTTACTAAATTAGGTTGGCTAATTTACCTTAAGTACAAATCTTTAAGTTTAATTACACTACTATGAGCTCCTTTGATGTTGCTTTTTCACACTGTGTTGTAGTTGTGTGTGTGTGTGTGTGGGGGGTCTTCCCAATAAACTATACATTCCTTGGGAGGGGACTCTAAATCACATTTGTAACCCCAGTGACTGGCAACTGTGTCTCTCAGATTAGCCTCTCACTAATATGATTTACAAAGAAGTCAGGAACTTGACCTAGGCACTTCTTCAAAGTCTGAATGAACAGAATAAAACCGCCAGTCTCTAAATGTGGTCCACAGACCTTCAGCACCAACATCTGGGTACTTGGTAGAAAAGCAGAACCTCAATCTTCACCCCACCATCAGAAATTCTGGGAGCAGTCCCCACTATTTTTAATAAGCCTCCAGGTAATTCTGAGGCACGCTCAAATTGGATCATCACTAAATAAGTAGAAGTAATTAAATAAGGTTGAATTGAATAAAATCCATTCACATTTCAAATTACTAGTAATAATCATTAAAAAAAAAACAAAAACAAAAAAACTCGTGCTATCGATTATCCCACTCCAGAGATCAATTCTAAGGACAGGCACATTCTGATTATTCAACTTCTTTTTTCTCCACTGAAGACATATTTTTAATTAAGAATGAGATAAGGAATAGAAAATGAGGATATGCTTTCCAAAATCTAAGAGGCCAGCTGGAGGGACATGATGCAAACATAACAACTTAATAAACTATGGGATGTTGCAGTAACAGGAACCAGCGAGATAAATGCCTGCTAGGGTTTCAGGATACAGAACACGATCCAAAGTTTGAAACATGTCAGGAAACCTGTTCCAGTGGCACAGAAGTCACCAACATCACACACATAGAGAGGCCCCCCTTCCTTGTTTTTCTCTTGCCCCATGCCAGACGTCACACTGTGCAGATGGCATTTCTTCCCCATTAGACGCTGGAAGCAATGCACAACCAGGAATCTACCTGCCCACACTCCCTCCTGAGGGATGCAGAGGGGAGACCACGGAATGCGATTCCCAGGGCCAAGGGAGGGGGATGAGGAGCATGTGGTCCAGAAGATGCCTGCAGGTGTGAGTCAGAGGAAAGCAAATTTAATAGAATTTATCATACTTGGAAAAGAAAACGTTGTTTTCAACCAGTTGAAACCATTAAATAGATAAACATTATTGTGTAATCTGATAATTACTCAAATATTAAGGTAAACAAAAACAAGGAGATACTGACAACTCACCCTGTTCGGCTGTATATAAGGGGCCCGGGCACAAGGGGACTCCCAAACTCAAGAACCTCACACTCTTGGAAACCCACCCAGAACCTCCACCCTCTGCCACCATGGTCAACTCTTGTTGTGGATCCGTGTGCTCTGACCAGGGCTGTGGCCAAAGCTGCTGCCGCCCCCGCTGCTGTGGCTCCTGCTGCTGCCGCCCCAGCTGCTGCATTTCTAGCTGCTGCCGCCCCTGCTGTGGCTCCTGCTGCTGCCGCCCCTGCTGCGGCTCCTGCTGCTGCCGCCCCTGCTGTGGCTCCTGCTGCTGCCGCCCCAGCTGCGGCTCCTGCTGCTGCCGCCCCAGCTGCTGCATTTCTAGCTGCTGCCGCCCCTCCTGCTGCGGCTCCTGCTGTGGCTCCTGCTGCTGCCGCCCCTGCTGCTGCCCCTGCTGCTGCCTCCGCCCAGTCTGTGGCCAGATCTCCTGCCACACCACTTGCTATCGCCCCACCTGTGTCATCTCCACCTGCCCCCGCCCCATGTGCTGTGCCATCCCTTGCTGCTGAGTCTCTGCCTATAATTTTGGTCACATGATGGATGTCCTTGCGGGTCATATAAAATGTGTTGGAGCCAGCCAGTGACAGCTGCCCACCCTTCTGTTTTGGCATTCAGAGTTGGTGTTCGGTTCTAGGAAATAATAAATGAAAACACATTCGTCGTGTGATTTTAACCCAGGCTCAGAGCCATCTAATTTTAAACCAACAATGCCTTACCCTAAGTATGCACTCTGTGTGATGATCTCTTATAACATTGTTTCCGTATATTCTTAATAAACAGCCATTTCCCTTGATACTGCAATCTCCTGATTTGTTAATGATTTGGGGGGGGGGTGTGCATGTGTGTCTTTACCTATGACTTCACACTAAAAAATGTTGCATCAAATGCAGAATAAGTTCAAGGGTAGTTACTTAGGTTAGAACAGAGATTCCACTGGGCATTCATTGCATGACATAGGCACAGTTATTTAATATCTTCAAGCCTCAGTTTTTTCCTCTGTGAAATGGGGATAATACATTATGTTATTCAAAGGTTCAAAGACATAATCATGTCATACACTTAGCACAGGGTAGAAAGCATAATGTAAGTTCTCAATAAGTATCATTTTTGTTGTTATTCTTATTGAAACACTACCCTGGTTAAGAATTCTACCTTAGCATCGTGTTCTCTTTGACAGAACAGAGAAGAGAGACTATAATTGTTTCACTGTAACTCAAAATTAAGTTTTAGTATAGGTCTCAAATGTCCCCTAAAAACTCCGGTGAGTTGATCATAAAGTCACCTACTTCATTTGACTATATTTCTACTTCTAGTATGTTACATTACCGGTTGTACACATTTTGGTTGTTCTACTTAGCTCAAGTACTTTCTTATCCCTCCCCCTCTCTCTCTTCCTCCTTTCCTCTCTGAATAATAAACTTTATCTCAGAATACTAAGTGTACCCTCTAAATCCAGATTTCTGAAAACATATAATAAAGTCTATGGCACTTCTCCAAAAAAATTTAAAACTTTTTACTAATAGACGTTCAAGCCCAGCCAGAGTGGCTCAGTTGGTTGAGCATCATCCCTTGCACCAAAGGGTTGTCCAGTTCCATTCCCGGTCAGGGAACAGACCTAGGTTGTGGGTTTGAGCCCTGGTTGGGGAGGGCAGCCAATTCTCTCTCTCTCTCTCTCTCTCTCGCTCTCGCTCTCCCTCCCCACTCTAAGCATGTCCTCAGGTAAGGATTAAAAAAATAATAGATGCTCAAAGTTTTAGTATTTCAAGACTGAAACTCCTACATAATTTTACCATCTCATGTTATTGAAGCTTTGTCTCTTCCTAATGGTTTTACTCTCCTGTTTTAGGCCTTTATCGTCTTGCTTGGTTTTACTTGCGAGCGCATGTTATTTGAGACTCAGTTTTCTTATCACCAAAACTCAGGTAAGAATGATACTCCTTAGCTGGGAAACATCTCACAATACATACAATAACATCACTTTAGACAAATATAAGGGTCTATAACTTTTGGTTCCTCATCTGCAGTACATTAAAACATTTTAAATTCAAATTTTGTGTGAATCAGAGTTTTATATATTAGCTGTGTTATATTTCCACATAACAAATGTAAGTAAGAGTTGATTGTTATTTCTAAAAAACATTTTTTAAAGTTCTAAGGTGTCAAGAGACAAACCAGGTAGAGGCTGATATAAAATGGGTTTTTCCCCAAAAGAAGTTGACTGTTAAAGTCTCAGCACATCACAGTGTCTCACATTTTCAGCTTCAACTTTTCAACTTCTCTAAAATCTTCTACACAGCACAGCCTTGTCTTTCCATCAACTGGAATTAACAAGCCGTGTACCGTCCCACATGTTCTTCTTTGGTAAACAATGTGGGCTCCAGTTTTAACGTGGTGCCTGATTAGCTAGAGCTACATCAAAGAACGTAGGTTTTTATTTTAATTTTTTTTTATCGTCACCAGAGGACATTTTCCCATTTTTTTGTTCAGATAGAGCGGGAGGGAGAGAGACAGAAACATCGACATGAAAGGGACACATCGAGTGGCTGTCACCTGCATGACCCAACCAGGGCTGGGGACAAACTGCAACCGAGGTACGTGCCCTTAGCGGGAACCGAACCCGGGTCTCTCTGAACCGGAGGCCGACGCTCTAACTGCTGAGCCAAACCGGCCAGGGCAGAACATAGGTTTTTATACTGCCCTTTTCAATATTAAAGTATATGAGGCTCATCACTTCCTGTTTTTATGACAATTGGGTCTCGGGTTCACAGATGGCACACCGAATCTGGGACAATGACAGGACTATTTACAAAAGCGTGGAGAGAGTATAGAGTATGGAGTATGGAGTATGGAGTATAGGGTATGGAGTATGGAGTATGGAGTATGGAGTATAGAGTATAGAGTATGGAGTATGGAGTATGGAGTATAGGGTATGGAGTATGGAGTATAGGGTATGGAGTATGGAGTATAGAGTATAGACAGAGCAACCGGAACAGCTCGGCACCCAGGGCTTGTAAAAGCAGGGAGCAGTGACCCCTAAACCTAAAGACCTACGCACAGATTTGGCTGACCTAGCCGAAAAGCGGCGTGCGAAACTTCTAAGATTACTACGTGCAGGCACTCGGTGTACAGTCCTTCCCAGCGGGAAGCGTGCTCTACATGGTCCGAAAGTGACACCGCAGACCCTGTGGTAGAGAAAGCCAAGGTGGAAATACGTGCTGCTGTGAATGGGACAGTGTGACGGGAGTGACGACCTGAGGTCCCCTCCCCGTGACCTGAATGCGCAGTTGAGATGCATTTGAAGTAAGTTAAAATGTGGCCGTGTTAAACATGTGCCTTGGAACTGCTCGCGCCCTTTGCGGTAGTACACAGCCCGCCACCAGCTCCAGCGGAACAGTCAGAAGCCGCGCCCGACCGGCATGCATTTATACACGTGGTTATTGCGTCCTTTACAACGTCAGTGCCCGGTCCCGCCAGCTGCAATTGCTCTCAGCGGCAGGGGACCCGGGGATTTCTGAGTTCACTAGTATACGGCCATAATCCAGTGAGGTGGGCCTGGGCTTGATGACCACGAAGAGCAAGTTAATGCTGATGACTGGTGCCAGTGCATGAAAAACCCTTAGTGAGTCTGAAAAAGCCAGTCCAGAGACAGAACCACATACATAAGGAAATATAGTACACGAAAAGGTGGCATTTAAATCAGTTGGGGGAAAATGTACTGTTTAAAAAATGATATTGGGCCCTGGCCGGTTTGGCTCAACGGTTAGAGCATCAACCCACAGACCAATGAGTTGTGGGTTCGATTCTGGTCAAGGGCATGTACTCGGTTGTGGTTTGTCCCCAGCTCTGGCTGGGGTCGTGGAGGAAGCAGCTACTCGATGTGTCCCTTTCATGTCGATGTCTCTCTCTCTCTCTCTCTCTCTCTCCCCCTCCCACTCTATCTGAACAAAAATGAAAAAAAGTCCTCTGGTGAAGATAAAAAAAAAAAAAAAATGTTGTTCGGCTATGGTCAATGGTCATATCCAATTTTAAAACATTAAACCTCGCCCTGGCCCATTTGGCTCAGCAGTTAGAGCATCAGCCCGCGGACCAGAGAGTCCCAGGTTCAGTTCCGCGGACCAGAGAGTCCCAGGTTCAGTTCCCGCTAAGGGAACATACCTCAATTGCAGTTTGTCCCCTGCCCCGGATGGGGTCATGTGGGTGGCAACCACAGAGATGTTTCTCTCTCTTCCTCCCTCTCTCCCTCCTGCTCTATCTGATAAATGCAAAAAAAAAAAAAAAGAAAGAAAAAAAAGAAAACATTAAACCTCATATCTCATAACTGTAAAAAGTCCTAATAAATATTTGAAAAAATAAAACATGCAACTTTGAACTTAACAGAAGAAACTATAAGACAATATTTATACATTTACAACTAAAAAGGCCTTTTACAGTATGACACAAACCCCAGAAGTCATAAAAGAAAAAAGTTAATAAATTTGACTATATCAAAGTAACTATCTATGTGGAAAAAAAACACATAAACAAAGTAAAAAAGACGAACTAGAAAAAATATCTGAAATTCACATTATATAAAAAGGCTAATTTTTATATATACAAAGAGTTCCTGCAAAAATCAATGTATGAAGACTAAACCCAGAAAGACATAAAAACATAAATTACATACAATACAGAAAATTTTCTATAATTTTTCTTAAAGAACAAGAAATACTAATAGCTCTTAAACATCTGAAGAGCTGCTCACTCTCACAAAAAGAGAAATGCAAATTAAAATCACACGGAGAAACATTTTCATCAATTTATCATATTAATCAAAATAGACAGATAGATAAACAGGCAGGCAAACAGATAGATGTCTATAAAGTTAATAGATGTCTATATATGTCTATCTGTGTATCATATGTATCATCGTGTTAATAAAAATGAAGAAAAATACGTCTATACTGCAGAAGTATAAATTGGCACAGTCTCTATGAAAGATGAAGTTGGCATTGTCTAACAAATATTATAAATATTTGTATACTCTTTGATCCAGTAATTCTCTCTCTTTAGAAATTTATCCTACAGAGAATACACATGTGAAATGATATATGAACAGGCTTATTCATTGCAGCATTGTATAGACTATCAAAAGACTGGAAACAAACTAAATGTCCAACAACAGAGATTGCCTTAAAAAATTGTTACGTTCCTTAAATGAAATACTATGCTAGTGTAAAGGTAAAGAATGGCAAAGCTGTGCAAATTGCTAGCTGAATGCTTCAAGAGAAAACAGCAAAGCAGAAGAACATGACTGCTATACCACCATCTGTACATATGAAAAGAAGTGAATAAACATTCCTACTGGCTTCTGACATATTAAATATCTCCAGAAGGGCTCACAAAAACCTGGAGACTGCCTGCCTTCAAGGAGGGACCTGGGTGACTAGGAAGAAAGGTCGTGGGATACCTTTACTCTTTGTCTCTTAACTTTTCCAATACATATATGTGTGTGTGCACACGGTATTCAAAATGTTTCCATTAAAATTTAAAATATAAAAACCTTTCTCCAGAGATTACTTTATTTTGGTTTTTACTTTCTACTTCTTCTTAATCCAAGACGATGCTAAGCAACATGCAAGCTTTTCCTGTACTCCTTCCAAAAGATATCATTTCCTTCTCGTGTCTGAGCAATGCTGGCCTTGCTGACACGCACGGGATTCAGCAGCGGACATAGACGCACTGGCTGCAGCCCGCAGGCCAGCTCAGTGGGCGTGATCAGAGGACCGGTTCTAAGAGTGGGGAGACTGGGGATGGGGAACAAGGTGTCAAGCCCCTTGGGAAAATGGGCTACGGTAGCATCAAATGATAATTCGACTAGTTCATTTGAGGGAGCTTTATTGGGTATGCACTTTCCCTATTCTTACTAATTAAATAGTGAGCAAGCATGTTTGGGGCAAAGAGGTGAATTCCAAGGGAACTGTTTAAATGTTATAGATTCTCCTCCTTTATTCAATATACATAACTTATCATCTGGAGGGGACTACAGATCTTAGTTTAAGAAAATATACAAGGGTCACCGCTATTTCAAAAAAGAATATAATGAACAAAAAAAGCTGATGAACAAAATAGACCCAGAGACATAGAAAGGAATATAGTTCATGCTGACAAACCTAAGGGGGGAGGGGGATGAGATAAACCAAAGAACTTACATGCATGTATATGTAACCAATGGACACAGACAACAATGCTTGGCTGGGGGTGAGGGAAGGGGGTGGGATAGGGAGGAGGGTGTGTGTGGGAGAACATCTGTAACAAAAATAAATTAATTAATTAAAAAATAAAAAATAAATAAATTTAGCCCTGGCTGGTTTGGCTCAGCGGTTAGAGTGTTGGCTTGTGGTCCAGAGAGACCTGGGTTGGGTTCCCACTAAGGGCACGTACCTCTGTTGCTGTTGTCCCTGGCCCTGGTTGGGTCGTGTGGCTGGCAGCCACTCGATGTGTCCCTTTTACCTCGATGTTTCTCTCTCTCTCTCTCTCTCTCTCTGTCTCTCTCTCTCTCTCTCTCTCCCTCCCACTCTACCTGAACAAAAAATGGAAAAGTGTCCAAGGGTGAGGATTAAAAAAAAAAATTAAAATAAATCATATATGGTGTGTGTGTATAAAATACTACATTTTTGCCTAAAGCCTTTTAATAGATCCTCACCGTTTCTTCTGGAATCCAAAGCTACACACCATTCCTCCCACATTCTAGCAACCTCACCGTATCTCTCACTACTTACTAAAATAGACCTTCCAGACATATCTCTTTCATCATCACAAGTGGGGGTTATGCCTCATCTCAATTGTTGGCTCTCTTTTGAATCCCTTTTCTGTCTATGTGAATCACATGTTCTCAAGGTCCATGTGTCTTCTCTGATGACCGAGACAAAATCTACTTACTAAACAAACATCTCCTGTATCAAAAATGCTTTCTTCTTCAGGCCTTGGGGATACAAAGATGGGTAAAATACTGCCCTAATGGAGTTCATATTCTAGAGAGAACTAGATAGATAAATGCATTTCTGGTAGAGAATGAGAGGGAGTCCACACATATACAAATACAACAGAAGTTTAACGGAGGAAGAACTTCACTTTGTGTGGGCCAAGGAAGACACTGGAGGAAGATGGCATTTGAACCCACCAATAAAAGATAACTAGGAGAATGCTGAGCTCACAAGAGTCTTTGCAGGAAGAGGGACTATCATTGGGTAATTTGTTCTTTCCTTAAATATAATTATTTCCTGAATGCCTGTGGTACTGAAGAAGTCCTCCTATTTGGGACTATAGTCATATAAGGCGGTGATTACAAAACTCTGTGGATGCAGTTTCTGTGTAGGTCCATGCAGGATGATGGAGATGTCATTTAGAAAGATAGGTGATACTATAAAAACTACTAGACGTTTTTGCTCAGAATATTTGAAAACTGTTTTAAGAAAATGTCCATAAAGCATAACCATGACATATCTTGATATTTTGAAAGGCAGATAAAAAAAGTATTGTCCCAATTATTGTGCCCCACTTGAAGGGAGATTTATGAAGATCAAAAGTGATCAATCCCAGATGACTCTTTGCTTCTTAAAAACAATGAGTTACTGCTAACTGTTTCAAAGTGTATCAAGGTGATGAAAAATAACACAGCTTGGAATGTCCTAGTGATTGCATCAGCACAAAGAACACCCAGAACACATACAATGAATCACAAGTTTTCTTATTTCTCAAACTCAGAAAGATGAGCTTGCTTCCTTCTTTCCTATCAGCATTCTGTCTGGTCAAAACACAAAATTTTCCACCAGAAGTCCCAGCCCCATCAGAAGCTCTTCTTAAATCATGTCAAGGGAGGAATAGACAAGAGAGAGTGGCCTGCCTGTGTCACATGATACCCAGGGAGTGAAATCTTGTGACGTAGCAAACAAAGGAAAAACACTAAAGGTGATTAATGGGGAACCCTGGGGAACTTGAGAAAAGGGAAATAACTATATTCTATATATTGAAAGTTTTTACTAGAAAAATGCAATGACATAATTTACTAATTGCATTGTAGTCATATAAAAAAACAAGGAAATAGTCTTTTCATAATTATAGAAGTCCCTCAGCTGGGTATAAAAGAGGACATGTGGCAAGAGGACACCCAAAGAACCACACTCTCCTAGAAACCCACCCACAGCCTCCAACCTCTGTCACCATGGTCAACTCTTGTGGCTCTGTCTGCTCTGACCAGGGCTGTGGCCAAGGCTGCTCTCAGGAGACCTGCTGCCGCCCCAGCTGCTGCCAGACCACCTGCTGCCGCCCCTGCTGTGGTTCCTGCTGCTGCCGCCCCTGCTGTGGTTCTTGCTGCTGCCGCCCCTGCTGTGTGTCCAGCTGCTGCCGCCCCAGCTGTGGTTCCTGCTGCTGCCGCCCCTGCTGTGTGTCCAGCTGCTGCCGCCCCAGCTGTGGTTCCTGCTGCTGCCGCCCCTGCTGTGTGTCCAGCTGCTGCCGCCCCAGCTGTGGTTCCTGCTGCTGCCGCCCCTGCTGTGTGTCCAGCTGCTGCCGTCCCAGCTGTGGTTCCTGCTGCTGCCGCCCCAGCTGTGGTTCCTGCTGCTGCCGCCCCTCTTGTTGCATCTCCAGCTGCTGCCGCCCTTCTTGCTGTGGATCCAGCTGCTGTGGCTCTAGCTGCTGCCGCCCCTGCTGCTGCCCCTGCTGCTGCCTCCGCCCAGTCTGTGGCCAGATCTCCTGCCACACCACTTGCTATCGCCCCACCTGTGTCATCTCCACCTGCCCCCGCCCCATGTGCTGTGCCATCCCTTGCTGCTGAGCACCTTCCCTGAACCCACTCTCTCCCCTTCGACTCACGTATCACAGAAGCAGACTCTGTGCACCTCACAGACTCCTTAGGAGAGCCCATTCCCTTAGCTGGGGGTCTGCAGCCTAGCCTCTGGCCAAATTAGGTGGCATTGATAGCAAGAAGTTAATAGAATTATCCAAATTCTATATCTGATCTTCTGATTTCTGGGTTCCAGGTGATCCTGCCTGAAACATGGAAATCCCTGCAGGGTCTGTAGGGGCACTGAGGTCACAGCCTCAGGTCTGAAAATCTTCGAGGGCTCTATCTTGTATTTCCTTTTATAGGGATGTTTCAGTATCTTATTGTTGCTTCTGAATAAAGCTCTATTTTCCTGGCTTACAAATACAATGTTCGTGTGTCTGCTGCTTTGTGATGATTGTCCTCTTTTCCCAGGAAATTATATCCAACACCCAACTGAATCAAGTTTTCCAATTCTTGCTCTCACCTTCAGGAAAACCAAAACAGGTATTGACATTGAAAACAAACAAACAAGCCCAGACATAACAACAATACAATGATGTCTCCAAAAGCATTGAAGATGTGCTCTGGCCGGTGCGGCTCAGTTGGCTGATGCACAGAGGTTGCTGGTTCGATTCCTGGTCAGGGAACATGGCCGGGTCGCAGGCTCGATCCCTAGTAGGGCACGTGCAGGAGGCAGCCACTCGGTGGTTCTCGCTCACTGATGTTTCTCTCTCCGTCTCCCTTTCCCAAATCCATAAGTAGACATTAAAAAATAAATATTTTTATTTTAAAATTGTGGGGTTATATCCCACAGCAAACTTTCTTAAATACTTTTAAGAGCGTACCTGTCCACTCTTCTCCTAGTTGCCTGCATTCTCCATAGCCATCGTTCTCCCCTTGTCTCTCGTCCCTGGAACGCCAAAGGTCCCCTCAGGGTTTGTACATCTCTGATTAACCCACTCCCAGCTTCCCTCATTGCAGCTCCATCCATTAGCAAAACAACACTTACCTTCGGGGAAAAGCAACCTTCCCGAGAAGTTAAAGGATAGCAGAACATGGAAAACAGTCACATTCTAATATTTTCCTATCTTACTGGCTTTTCTGGGACGTGTATTTGACAGCGTGGTCTGGAGCAGTCAACAAAGCCAGGAGGGATGTGGGGACTGACAAGAAGCCAACTAAAGGACTAGTTTGGTTCCGAGGTAAACCTAGAGTACTCCCAAGTTCCCATGGACACTCTCCTCGGAAAAATGAGGTAAACTAAATGGCTGATGAATTTGTGTTAGTGAAAGTGGGAGAAATACGTAGAAAGCTTGTATATAAAATTTATATTCTATGAGTTGTAGGATAGAAACTAATGTATGTTGGTGCAGAATCATCAATGTGCTTGACTTCCACAAATTCTACACATGAATAGTAATGATAATGAAAAAATAATCTAACTTGTGTAGGGACATTGTTCTTCAACCCTACTCCAGGGACAGAAGTCCTGATACACCAGAGATGGTAGATGAGGAGAGATGGCACCTTGAGTCGGTCTCAGCATAAACATGGTTTGGTTTGGTTTGGTTTTCATGGGGGTGGGGGCTCTATTGGTACTCTTTTTTTTTTTTCCAGAAAAAGAAAGAGGTAAAGAAAATAATATAGGTGGAAAAATGGGAAAGAAAATAAACAAAGACCTTCTTTGCAGATCATCTGGTTGTCTGCATGGGAAGTCAAGGAGAATGTCACATGCATGGAACTGGGAGGTGTATTAGTTATTTAACATTGGTGAACAAGTAATCCCCACAGTTAGCAGCTCGAGACGACACACAGGTATTATCTCACACACTTCCTGAGGGTTAGACACTCGAAAGGGGCACGGCAGGGTCTCAGGAGGCTGCAGACGAGCCTTTGCCCAGGGCTCCTGCACATGCACAGGGGGAAATCCACTTGCAAGCTCACTCGCACGGTACTTGGCAGGAGGATGCAGTTCTTCTCCGTGCGGACTGCTCCCAGAACAGGGCAGCTGGCTTCCCCCAGACTGAGGGATCTCAGAAAGCCAGAGAAAGCAAAAGAAAACCCAAGCGGGAAGCCACAATCTCTTTACGGTAACCTGATCTTCAAAGTGGCTTCCTCTTGCTATTTCTGTGTTCCTTTCACTCACTGGAAGTGAATCACTGCATCCAGCTCACAGGGGAGGGAAGGGGGTCACACAAGGACATGCGCCCCAGGAGGCGGGGACGCCCGAGGTCATCTGAGCGGCTGCCCGCTGCAGTGTGAGAGGTGACTACAGTCTAAGTGGTTTCCAGAGCCGTGGGCCTCGGTCGCCTAGGTCATAGGAAGTTAAGTGTCTAAAGAGGAGACATGTATGATCTGAGCCATGGGAAACGCCAACATTTGTAAGTTGAGAAGGGAGCAACAGTGACACAAGGGACCAGAAAGCACTGCAAGGATGTGAGAAGACAACTAGGACAGTCAGGGTCCAAGAGACAGTGTCCACTTGGAAAACTGAAGGACAGAATTCCTCCTCCAGCCATGACAAAGCAGCTGGCACCACACAAAGCTACCGGTGAAAATAACTGTGAGAACCGGACAGAATTGAGAAAACAGGTGTTTTAAAACATTGGAAATGGACCTGCGTCAGCAGGACTGAGGGCTCACGGTCTAAGTAAATGAAATTCTTTCTGGTGGAAGATAAAATCACCTCAAGCCTCTGACGTTTTTCAAGAATACCGTCTGGCATTCAATTTAAAAAATTGCCAAGTTTGCCAGAGCATAAAGGAGCAGATGACTAAAAATAAGGCAAAAGGCAAAGAAAACATAATAGAAATAGATTCAAAGGTGATGCACTTATAGGTGTTAAAACTATCTTTAGAATAATTATGATTAATGTGTTTGAAATAATAAATGAAAAATAATAAATTTCTTCTAGAACTGGAATCTGTAATACATAAGTCTACTGAAAATCCTGGAACTAAAAACCTGAAATCAGAATTCAATAACTGATTAGACAAAATTGAAGAGTAAACAGATCAGACAGAACAGAAGAGAGGAGGAGTATATTGGGAGTAGAAAATATCCTCATTGAAGTACCGAGAGAAAAAGAGTAAAAAATGTAGACAAGAGCATTGACCATAAGGAGAAAGTGGAAAGGTCTAAGAGTCAAGTAAGTTGAGTCCCAGGAAGGGCGAACAGGGCAGAAGCTATAAATAGATAGTGATGGGTAATCTAACAGCCATTGAAAAACTTTGAGCCACAGATTCAAGAACCTCTTTGAACCCTAATTTATTTATGGTCCTTCAAAATCTTTAATTATCTAAATTCTTGGGGTTATACCTCCTTTTCCTATATCTACTGTGCTACTTATGGGGATTATTTTCCTGTATATTTTATAACATCTTCCCCTATGGACATCCCATACAGTTTATGAGTGGTTTCTTAGAGGTTTATTTTCCCCGTGGTCACTTCTTTTTAAAGTTTTTCCTCTGTGGGAGTTATTTCTGTGTGGTATGATTTTTGTGTGTGTTTCTGGTGATTCCAAGAACATTCACTATTTTGCACTGGTTAGTTTCTCAGCTTGAGATTCCTTCCCGATGCATATAGGGTAAATTGGAAAGCTTGGTGACATTACTGAGGTTCAGATGTTCACAGGAGCTTTGATTATCACGTACAGTCCCTTGTGGGTGGACAAAGGTGTTCTTGCCCCATCTGACTTACCGGGTGTCACGTTAAGAATGCAAACTTTATCCAGGACTGTGTCCCGTGACAGCCTGCGGTCCCATGTCTTCACCTGCCTGGGTTTTCACTACCGGCCTCCAATTCTCAGAGCCTGTAACTAGATGCCAAATTTTCACAGGCCACAGGACGTAAGCTACTGTTTGCAGTTTGAGTGCCTTTTGTATCAGAAAATGAGAACTTTTCTTCTCTTTTTCATGTTCAGCTGTATAATTAAATTGTTTTAAAAGTATTTGTCATGCATTTCTATTTGCTTGACCATATAAACTTAATCAAGCATGTTGCCAGAAGTCCTGTATTTTCAGGGACCCGAGAAGATCAAAGGGTTATAGCATCGGTTAGAAACATAAACAAGGGTTCTTGGAGTATTGGCCCCTATACAGTAAAATGTATCATATACTTTAGTATCCACCCCCCAAACACAAACTACTCACTCTTAATATACTAACACTGCAGAAAAATATTTTTCAATCTCAATCCCTTTCGACGTTTTTTTAACATTTTAGTTTTGAAAAATTTCAGATTTACAGAACAGTGCCAAATGACTCCTATCACACGGCCTTCACCTAAATGCCACATTTTGTTTCTCTGCAGTAGAGAGATTTAAGTAGGTAGGTAAGTAGACAGATAGATAACTATATGATTTAGATACAGATGGACTTATATCCTAAGACTAACGACATTACAATGAAACACTATGCAGCTGTAAGAATGATCTCTTATCTTTTGAGACGACATGGAGGGACCTGGAGAATATTATGCTAAGCAAAATAAGCCAGTCAGAGAAAGACAAATACCACATGATCTCACTTATTTGGGGAATATAATGAACCAAAAAGTTGATGAACAAAATAGACCCAGAGACATAGAAAGGAGTGTGGCTCAGACTGACAAACTTCAGAGGTGGGTGGTGTTGGGGAGGGATGAGATAAACCAAAGAACTTATATGCATGTGTGCGTAACCAGTGGACATAGACAACAGTACTATGGGGGGCAGACGGGATCAGGAGGAGGGTGTCTGGGGGGAAAAAAAAGAGAAACATCTATAACAAAAATAAATTAATTAAAAAAAAAGACTAAGGACATTTTCTTGCATAACCACAATACAGACATCAATTAAATCAAATGTTGACACATCACTACTATCTAACATACATTTACTATCTAAATGTTACCAGTTGTACCAATAATGTCCTATAGAGAACTTTTTACCCATATCCACGGATTGCATTTGGATAGTGTGTCTCATTAGTCTCCTCGAATCTGAAACACCTGCTCAGTCTGTCTTTATATTGGATGATTCTGGCATTTTTTAAGAGAACGGGTCAGTCATTCTGTAGAATATTCCCTCGTCTGTGTTTGATGTTTTCTCATAATTAGATTAAGGTGAGGCATTTTGACAGGAGTACTACAGAAGTGACGTGTCTTTGTCAGTGTGTGCCTTCAAGAGACACTTGTCTGTTAGTCCCATTATCAATAATGTTAACTTCGAGCCCATGGTTAAGGTTATACTCTCAAGTTTCTCCACAGGAAAGTTAATATGTTTTCCTTTAAAATTAATAAATAATCGATGAGAACCATTTTGAAAGTGTGCAAATATCCTATTTTCTTCTACATTTATTAGTTGACATTCTACTGTCATAGATAACTTTCTCATCTTCCTTTAAAAATTTATTTTATTTTATTAGTTTCAGTAAGGATTCATTAAATACAGTAAAAATACATTACTGCCATTATTCATGTTGGTGCTTAAGCTGCTCCATGTTGAGCCAGTGAGAGTACCTTCCAGGTGGTTCCAAGAGACTTTTAATGTTTAAAACAGTGAGTCATTGGCAACGGTTTCAAACTGAATAAGGAAGTAGCACTTAGTACATACTTTGAAGCGGCCAGAAAGTCCACTATCGCCTGAGCATCCATGTCCCACAGAGAGGTTCTGTCTTCCTCATTGCACACAGGTGACTCACCAAGATGAACCTGCTTCTTTCTATTCTTTACTATAATTCTGCTTCTCTTTGAACATCAAAGAGATCTTGGCATATGAGACTAATTGATCCAAGCAGCATCATGGAATGATACATAGATCACAGGTCAACACTAGTGACTGAATCATGGGCTGGGTCCTCTTGTCAAACAAGAAAGTAGGAAAGACGATTCTGAGAAAGACCAGACTGGAAAATCTTAACACATCAGGGAAAATGAAATCTTCTTTTCCTTCATCTCAGAATCTTTAACCAGAAAGACTAATTTTAGACTAGTATTCCTTTAGAAAAATGAACTAGAACATGGTCCAGGATCTGGACACAGCAGCCCGAGCAGAGCATGAAAGAGGACACACAGCAGAGGGACTTCCAACTTCGCTGAGCTCTCTCCGCTGGTATCAGAACCTGCACCCTCTGCCACCATGGTCAACTCTTGTGGCTCTGTCTGCTCTGACCAGGGCTGTGGCCAAGGCTGCTCTCAGGAGACCTGCTGCCGCCCCAGCTGCTGCCAGACCACCTGCTGCCACCCCTGCTGCTGCCCCAGCTGCTGCCAGACCACCTGCTGCCACCCCCCTGCTGCTGCCCCTGCAGTTGCCTCCGCCCAGGCTGCGGTCAGGTCTCCTGCCACACCTCTTGCTATCACCTCACCTGTGTCATCTCCACCTGCACTTGCCCCACATGCTGTGCCTCCTTTTGCTGCTGAGGCCGCTGCTCTGTAAGCACTGTCCCTGTTTACCTCTGTCCTCACAGATGCAGACCCTCCTCCCGCTCTGACCTTTGGTACCGGATCACGTGGCCCATCTGCGCTGGGTCGCATGATTGTAATGAGCCCACAACAGGTCCACTAACTCTGTGAGCACATTCTGGCATCAGTCCAAACTCTCTTCCTTCTATGCCCTGGCCAGTTTGGCTCAGTGGTTAGAGCATCGGCCGAGGGACCAGAGAGTCCCGGGTTCGGTTCCCGCTAAGGGCACGTACCTCGGTTGCCGTTTGTCCTTGGCCCGAGTTGGGTCGTGCGGCTGGTAACTGGTCGATGTGTCTCTCTCACATCAATGTTTCTCTTTCTCTTCCTCCCTCTCTCCCTCCCACTCTATCTGAAGATAAATGCAAAAATTTCCTCGAGTGAGGATTAAAAAATAAAAAAAAACCTCTCCTCCTTCTGGACCTCCCCCTGTCATCCAAGTATGCATCTGCTTGTAACATGCCAACTGTCGCATTGACCAATTCTCCCCAAATTCTCCTTCACTTTTGAGCACCAGATCATCAAGCTCAAGGAACTGAACTTTGATTTCAATATTTCTACATTACAGATTTTTATCGTCTCCTGGAGGGTCCAAAGAAGATTCTCCTTTATAACTTTTATTCTCCAAATTTTCCTACGTTGTAACTCTATGCCCAAACCAACGACTGCGTTCCTGTGAGGACGATGCGGCGTGACGGGACGCTCCCCTGGGGTTTTCTGTGCGGCCTAAACGACTGTGCTTCACCTTCACCTGTAGGACAGACCGCATGGCTTCGTCCATTCTCCCCCAGAGGCTCAGCAACCTTGGGCACAGCTGAGGTTTCACCGGGAGTCCCTTTAGTGATTAGAAAACAGATATTCTCAAGAATTTGTGGATGGAAATCAGAGAAAACCTTTCCAGAAAACCTGTTCTGGGATGCAATTAAGTTACATAACCATTTGAGCCTTTCAAGACTTGCTTAGAAGCCATGTGAGGTGGGCCCGGAACAGACTTGGGGGAAATATGGCCCATGTCTGATGCAATCCTCTGTAGGGTATGCTAACCAGGAACTCATGAATGACAAGGTTCTTCATTCCAGCTCATGAGAACATGAACACTTTCTGGCCCTGTGTCAGCTCCAAGGATTGGGGTTGGGGGCGGGTGGCCTTTCTCTGTCCTTGGCTAGTTTCCTCACAGGCACAGATCAGTAGCTAGAGCTCCTGCGGATCTCTGGGGCTCTCTGGGTGGCTCTCTCTTCTCCGACACTCTGCTCTGGGAGTTCCAGCTGTCTCGGCATCTCTCATCCCGGCGCCACCCCCTCCAGTCACGAGCATTACCAGACCACCTGGCTCTCCTTCCCAGACCTACAGCCTGGACCCAGGCAATCCTAGGGATCACCGCACTTGCTTCTGCTCTCTAAGGCGCCAGTTCTGCTGGTCCAACAGCCTGCGTCCAAGAACCACGGTTTCATTTATTTTGTCAGTTTTGGGTTTTTTTTTCAGTTGTTTCAGGCGGAGGGAAAGTCCAGTCCCTGTTCTCCTTCTTGGCTGGATCCAGAAGTCCCCCTTTCCTGTTGTCTCATCTCCTTCGCTATTCCCCCATTATTTAAAAAAACGAATGTAATGTAAGCAAATATATCTTCTATTTGTTTCTATTTCTTTAGATGCATTGTAGAACACTGTACGTACTTTTCTCCACCTGCTGTATCATCTCAATAATATATCCTGGAGATTACTTCATAGGAGCACATAGAGATACTCCTTATTCCTTTTTACAGCTGAATAGTACTCCACTATGTGAAGGAATGTAGTTTTGTCACTCTTATTGAAGGACATTCCAATTGTGTCTAGAGGATTTTTTGTTTGTTTCGTTGGTTTTTTGTTTTGTTTCTACGAATAGCACTGCTATGAATAATCCTGTGCAACAGTTTTTCATGTTTTCACATGAGTCGCTTTATGATAATTTATAGAATTGGGATAGTTGAGCCAAAGAATAATTCTGCTAGCTGTTGTCAAATCCTCGTGAGAAAAGTATAAGCATCACTGTTTTTACATAGTCTCCCTATCAGAGAATGTTGTCGAATTTTGAATGTTTGACAATCTAACAGGTGAGAAGCAGTACCCCATACTTTCATTTCATGGTAAAGAAAGATTTGCATTTTATTTTTCCATCAGAGATTTGGTCCTTTTTTTTCTAATCTAGTCCTAGAAGGGCTTTATACATTAAGACCATGAACCCTCTGTCTTTGGTATAAATTGCGAGTTTTCAAAAAGCTGTTTGTATTTTTATTTTGTTTATAGTTGGTTTTTATTATATGTATTGTATGTATTTTTTTTATTACAAATGATTGTTTTTTCACCTTCAGAATTGAATTGCAAATTTTCTATGTTATAATTTAAAAATTAAATTAAAAAATATTAAATCATGAGTCTTCTTTAATGCTGAGGCTTCTTATATCTCTACTGTCCATTCTTTAAGTGGTCCTCATTGACTCTCTGAAATGCCTATTGCGTCAGTATCTTCATTACCACACTCTGTCGCCAACCTAGACAGGCATGTATCTCTCACCCTATACTTCAGCTACTCTTGTCTTCCCCCTCCTTGTCACCCCCATCTCCAGACAAATCATATTTAAAAACCCTTGATATTTGCTCACACCTTTCTCCCAACTTTGTGATGATATCTACTCTCTCTGTATAAATTCAAGAATACCCTTAGATTCTCCTCATTCAATCAGTGGAGTGTTATTTTTCTCTACTCTCCTACACATACCATTCAGACAAGTCATTTCTTCCATCGGCTGCTAAAACATACCCCGTTCAATCATGCCCCGCTGTGTGGATGTTCTTTCTTTTCTGCTCCGTCCATCTGAATTACCTGCAGTTGTTAAAGAGAGAGTAAATGCCTCATGTTTCTATTAACCTCATATTCAGTCAACTAACAGTCATGTAGGGCAACAGCGAGGTGCCATATTTATAAACATAAATAAGAGAGTCTCTGACTTCATGGGGTATTTAGAAGGATTGGAAAAGAGATAGAAACCAGTTATGATAATGTATGGTATCCTAGACCACAGACAAATCTTGGAGCTAAAAGGAGGTAAGGATCCATTTTGAAAGTTGTAGAGGTGAAGACAGGTATTCGTTAGAGAGGGGCCAGTATCTGGACTGGGCATTGAAGTATGAGCACGAGTTTTCCAGGCTGACAATGGAAAAGCATATTCACACAAGGAAACAGCATGAGAAATGACGTAGGATAGTCATCCTTCACGCCTTCTAGGAGAGAAGAGATAACCACAGGTCCTAATGACTGTGCAGCTACAGTCTATCTGGGCTTCAGCTACCTCATGTCTAAGGAATTCAGAAAAATTGTTTCTGCCTCATGGAGTCTCGGTGAAGTGTAAACAAGATAACAATTAGAGAAAAATATTCTTGACACGCACGTCGGCACTCAAAAATAGTAACGATTGGTAGTGTCCTATTAAGAAGTGTGTCGATTTAAATACATAATTGTTATTTTGTCTTCTAATCACACAATGCTCTAAATCAGTGATTTTTTTCAACTGATGTGTGCAAGAATTTTTAAAACAGGCAACAGCTGACAATTTTCAGGGGCACTGACCTCTTTTTCCTTAGATTGTCAAATTAAAAAATGACAACAGCCAACACAATAGCCGTCCAGTGTGAATGAATAAAAATTATACCTATCTTTATGTCAGATCAGCAAAAATAGATTTTTTGGTGTGCTGGAGAATTTTAGTGATTAGTTTGTGTGCCATGAGATGGAAACAGCTGAACGTTGCTGCTCTAATTGGTTACCTACGTGTGAGTCTTGTTTGCCTCAAATGCCTGGGAGATGGAGATTAAAACTTAATCCCTTATATCTCTGGTGAGGATAAAATAAAAAATAAAAAAAAAATCCCTTATATCTCAAACACACCTTGCAGAGAGACAATAGCTCAGAATATAAGAAAATAAATAACACTTCAATTATACACATTCCATTGGGCATGTTGACTTACTAAAATAAGATTAAAAATACTCCTTTGTGATACCCTATCTCTGAAGATCATGTCAATAGCAACTTAATTTTTAAAAAGGCCCTATCACGTCAATGTGCTTTTGCTATTTAAAAGTAGTGAATCAGCCCTGGCCAGTTTGGCTCAGCGGTTAGAGTGTTGGCCCCTGGACCAGAGAGTCCCGGGTTCCGGGCCCGCTAAGGGCACGTACCTCGGTTGCGATTTGTCCCCGGCTCCAGTTGGGTTTGTGTGGGTGGCAACCAGTCTCTCACATTGACGTTTCTCTCTTTCTCTTCCTCCCTCTCTCCCTCCCGCTCTGTCTGAAGATAAATGCAAAAATGTCCTCAGGTGAGGATAAAAAATAAAAATAAAAGTAGTGAATCACTGCATTGTAACTGTTTCAAATCAAATAGATTCAATAAGGAAAAACAGAGAGGAACTCTGTTAGAATCTTTTGTAGCTCGCTGCCATCCCAGGAAGTCCAAAGGCATCACAGGACTCCGGCCTGCGCGCAGAGAGCTGCCCCTTCCAAGACGGGTCCCCAACCTGTGTTACTACCAGCACTTCATGTGACTTACTCTTGGACAGCAGAGGAGATTTATCATTATATGATCCATTCTCAACATACCATTCTGGAGTCAAATAGAGAAATGAAAAATTAACACTTATGAACTCCAATGAAACAATGTCACGTAATGGGTCTACTTGAGAAGACACATCAGACAGAGAAACATGGGAGCTGATTCACTCAGCTTTAACCACACTAAATAGCTCATAATACAACAGGAAAAGGAAATGGTACCGTTTCTATAAATAGGAATATTTACCAGATAAACAGAATGATCTAATTTACTAAAATTAACTGATTTTCAACCAGGATAAACAACAACAAGGAGAGTTCTGCACATGGTCACAGCAGCCTTCAGCGGGATATAAAAGCCACAGACAGCAAGGAGAGACCACACTCGAGAACCTCACTCTCTCGGAAACTCACCCAGAACCTGCACCCTCTGACACCATGAGCTGCTGTGGCTCCTGCTGCTGCCGCCCCTGCTGCGGCTCCTGCTGCTGCCGCCCCTGCTGTGGCTCCTGCTGCTGCCGCCCCTGTTGTGGCTCCTGCTGCTGCCGCCCCTGCTGCGGCTCCTGCTGCTGCCGCCCCTGCTGCGGCTCCTGCTGCTGCCGCCCCAGCTGCTGCATTTCTAGCTGCTGCCGCCCCTCCTGCTGCGGCTCCTGCTGCTGCCGCCCCTGCTGCTGCCCCTGCTGCTGCCTCCGCCCAGTCTGTGGCCAGATCTCCTGCCACACCACTTGCTATCGCCCCACCTGTGTCATCTCCACCTGCCCCCGCCCCATGTGCTGTGCCATCCCTTGCTGCTGAGTCTCTGCTTTGAACACACGGCTTGCTCCTTGCCTCCCTCCCCGCAGATGCAGACGCTCCTTTTCAAAAATGTGTAACTGATCCCTTGGATCCCATAGCAAACCCCAGACCTACTAATACTCTGTTCGCATTCTAACTTCTGTCCGAACGTCCTTCCTTCAAATGAACTCACTCAGAATCTCCTAATAAATTAAATTCCCCCAACATCCCTCCTTTTGTCTTCAAGACATCCATTCTTTATGTCTAAGAGATTTGAAGGTTTTCTCCATCACTTGTGGGGCCGCAGATTTTAACTCCTCCGACATCAAAGTCCAAGGAAGCATTTTTCTTGTACTCCTTTGTAAAGATTTTCTTACACCAAAACAAACCTCCTTGCACTGACACAGAAAATTAAATGTGATTGTTAGTCTTTTTTTTTTTTGAGGTCTTACATGTGGTCCCGGGTAACTGTATTTGGCCTATGCCCACTGGACAGAAAGCACAGATTAGTCCACCTCCAACAGAGGTCAAATGACATTGGTCACCATTTAGCTTTTTTTTTTTAATCCTTACCTGAAGATATTTTTCCACTTATCTTCAGATAGAGTGGGAGGGAGAGAGAGAGGGAGAGAAACAGAATCACTGATGTAAGAGAGACACATGGACTGGTTGCCTCCCGCACGACCCCGACCTGGGCTGGGGACGAACCACATACTGGTTCTATCTTCGTGATGGTTCTGAGTTTCATACTGCCCAGGGGTTTCTCTGGCCAGAAACAAATAATGTTCCCAGCTTGAGATTCCCACACCACAGGGAAGTCTAAAATTGGAATCCAAACTCACTTAAATGGTAAGCTTTCAGTTCTGAATATAGAATTATTTTTTTCTCCCATTAACATTCACCAAAGGACAAGGTTAACTGGGCTTCTCTTACTGAGATTTTCCAGTTCTCCTAGCTCAGATGAGAGAGCCCTCCAGAGTCTGTTTCTCATGGTCCCAAACAGTGTTTTGGCCCCACGAGGAGGTTAGAACCCCAGCCCTGCATCATTAGTTCAGGTCCTGAAGGAGCTCAGCTCCAGATCACAGATTGAGTGACCTCAAGTTCCTCCTTCATTCTGACTCCTGGGGATCCGCATTTTCTTTCTTTTAAATTCAGACATGTATTACTTTAAAACTTATATCCAGAATCTCTATCTATAAGTAGTCAGAGGGGGATTTAGTATTAGTTTAGTATCTGTGTTCCTGAAGTCCTTCATGAATTTTTCCCAAGAGAAAATTCACCTGTTAGTCATTAGAATAAGTGGAAATTATAGTAGGCAATGTAATATAATTTCTAACAAAAAATTTGATTAAATCAATAGCCACTTTAATAAAATTGATGTTTCTCTTTTGAACACCTAATCACATATAAAGGACTAGGAGACTGACAACATGCATTTCTTGTAGAGAAATCAGGCAATCTTTGTTTAATCAATGCCATTGCTTGGTTGACCAGGAAGAGAAAGGTGGAGAGGAGTCAAAGTAACCCCATAAAAGAAGACCCAGTGAACATTATTTAATTTGACTTTCCAGATGTCATTATCCAAGCTCCACAACAAAGACCATTAAAATAACAAATTCATGGCTCATTCCTATTTATTCTTCCCCCCTCTTACTTGCTGGAAGAAGTATCCTCTCCCACCCTGTGGTTTGAACCTCGCCAAGTGTCTCGCTTTGGCCAATGGGATGTGAGAGGACATGACCTAAGCAAAGAGCTGAAATGTGCTTGCAGGACTAGGGTTGCTCCCCTGTGCTTGTGCTGTCTGGGGTAGGGCTGTCGGTGAAAATACAGGCCAGCTCACTGAACTGGAATTTCAAATAAACAATAAATATATTTTTATGTAAGTATGCTACTTCAAAAATATTTGTTGTTTATTTAAAATAAAAATTTAACTGAATTACCTGTATGTTTACTTGCTAAATCTGAAACTCTAATTTGGAAAAAAACATCCAAAACCAACCCATAGCCAGAAGGCAACGCCAGCCTTAAACAACTGACCTGCAGACGCATGACCAAGAAAGAAATACCTGTTGTATATTGTGAGAGTTTGTGGCTGCTTGTTATGCAGCAATAGCTGACTAAGTCAACTGTGGTGAGAAACGAGCTTAATACAATCAGTATGAAAAGATTAAGCAGATAGTTTTCTATAAAGAAAATAAAAATAAAGGAGTGCCCAAGTGTTTGTGCTAGGATTGGTTTTATTTTAATAAATGTTTTGAAGGATATAGGTTAATGAATATCTGGGTTTATAGATAAAATTAATCTTTTATGGATAATACAAAGTGAAATACTATCATAATATTGAAGGGGAATCCCATTCACTTTTGTAAACGTATTTGTTAAAACACAGCCTTAAGGGTCAGACAGGTTGAATCCAGACTTTGTTATTTAAGGTAAGAGCTGTGTAACCTTGGGGAAATTCGTTAACCTCTCTAAGTTTCAGATTCTTCATCTATAAAGTGGAGATAATAATACGTAACTCAATTGATTGTTCTGATGATTAATAAGATAGTCCTTGGAACATACCAAGTACTCCCTAAATTATATTTAAAGTTCTTACGTAGCGGAAAGAAAAGCGGAAGTATCCAGCATCAGTGAACAAAATAGTACAGTATCATTAACTGTTCTTAGAGGAAAATGGGTGTAAACTTCCAGTAAGAGCCTAGTTAGAAAACAAAAGAAAGACCCTTATAAAACTATGATATAAGGTATTCATTTAAAGGACTGTTGAGGCCAAAAATGTCCACAGAATGTTGGTCGTAAATAAAAAGGCTATCTGTAAACCAGAAAAATCTGAGCCTTACACCAGATTATAATATGACTTTGCCTAGAATATTGCATGTAATTCTAGCCACATTATCTCAGAGAGTTATTTAGTCTATACAGTAAAAAAAAAAAAAAAAAATCAACTAATGTTACAAGAGAAAATCTTGCCATGAGGAATCAGCATGAATTTGGTATAATCCACAGCTATGACAGCTTCCATGATGTCATCACAGCAAACAGAATTCCCCATGACAACAACAAAAAGCCTCCCCTTGAAGCAGAGGAGGTCATTTTAGGAAGATGACTACTGAACAGCATTTGATTGGCGGCCTGCAAGCTCCTAGCCTCTTGTTTTCATTTCGTGTTCACAGAGAGAAAGTGGGATTGACTGGGCAGATTTCTTTTGTTTTTTATTCAAATCCCAAAAAAAGTGTTGATCTCACTAGTGGTTCACTAGTAAGTGATTTCACGAGTAAGAAGCAAGTTTATAGAACTCATCACAACGGTAAGATATGGGGTGAAGGCACAGACAACAGCAGAAGGACTCGGTCGGGCACCTGCCTGTCTCGGCGCCGCGGTGCGCCCCCCAGGGAAAGCAGACTCCTGGAGACCAGCGTCCAGAAGAGAAGGGCGCACCCCACTCCGCAGTCCAGCTCTGCGGGTCCTCAGAGAGAAACCCCTGTGCTCGTGCACAGCTCTGACCCCGCACAGAAGCCCTGCGGCCCTTTCAGATGACCTGTCATGGGGTGAATCATTTCCCCAATTCTCTTATCACATTTAATGATACTACTTATTTGGAGGCTTGAATCGGTCTGTCTTCCATCCGAAGACTCGGGTCTACTGAGCCTGATGAACATAACACTCAGAGGTTGCTTCCTGCGGAAGGAGAGGACCTGGACCCCAGACCTAACTGTGTGACGGTGGTGAACACACGTGCCCCCTCCTGGAGAGTGGGGAATAGGCCTCCATATCCTCTACGTCCCTTCCTGGGTTCCACACGTGCAGTGATTAATCCCACATTATTTACAAAAACAAAAATTGCAACAGATCCCCGATGGGGGTTTTACAACCAAGGTGGACGTTGATTTTGGCTTGCAAGGATGAAGACAGCATTCCAGGTGACTGTGAGACATTACAATCGAGGTAGGACAGCCCAGAGGGGCAGTAATTAACCCAGGGTGGCATGGATGCAGAGTGGCCGGGATCCAGGGTGCCCTGCGGTGCCTCCCCATGTGCAGACCCACAGACCTGCCTTTCAGTGAGCCACGGAAGGAGGCACATGGAAGCAGATGACTGCTCGTCTGCACTGGGTGCTGCTATTACCTGTTCCTGTCGCGCATGTGCGTAAATAAAGCAAGTCGCTGTGTGGGTGGCAATTATGAGAGTCTTTGAAGTCCATGAATACAAGAAACTTCAGGGCCACCGGCAGAGTGATGAGGTACTATACTCGTTTAGAAAACACATTCTTTTCTCTTTTATGAGTTAGAAATATTTAAAGAGAAATCCATCAGAATCCAATCCAATGTCTAGATTTGGTGAGAATAAACAATATAAAAAAAGAAAGAACATTTGTGGCGTCTGTGTACAAATACATATGCATGAGGTGGGGTTACCAAAAACACTATTAGTCAACGTTAAATCCTCACTTGATTGGCCAGGAAATTAACAAGGAAATGACCCTGTGTCCTGGGGTTATCAGCACCAGGCCAGGGTATATAAGGGCCCCAATGGGGAGGAGCACAGTCACACCTGAGAACATCAACTCCTCACACCAGTTCAACCCCGCCCAGCCCCAGACACCACCATGACCGGCTCCTGCTGCGGCTCCACCTGCTCCTCCTGCTGTGGGGGAGGCTGCTGCCAGCCCTGCTGCTGCCAGCCCTGCTGCTGCAGAGACCCCTGCTGCTGCCGCCCCTGCTGCTGCCAGACCACCGTGTGCCGCCCTGTGAGCTGTGTGCCCCGCTGCACGCGCCCCATCTGTGAGCCCTGCCGCCGCCCCATCTGCTGTGACCCCTGCGGCGTGCAGGAGGGCTGCTGCTGCCCCATCACCTGCTGCCCCACGTCCTGCACGGCTGTGGTCTGCCGCCCCTGCTGCTGGGCCTCCACCTGCTGCCAGCCCATCTGTGTGCAGGCCCCCTGCTGCCGGCCCCCCTGCTGCCAGCCTGCCCCCTGCCGCACCACCTGCAGGACCTCCCCCTGCTGCAGCTGCTGAAACC